CTCTCTCTCTCTCTCTCTCTCTCTCTCTCTCTCTCTCTCTCTCTCTCACACACACACACACACACACACACACACACACACACACACACATTTTATACCTGTAGAGAGTCATTTTGATTTCCCTGTGGTGGAAACAGAAGAACATTGTCTGGAGCGCCCTCTTCTGGCTGTAATAGGGAGTGAAGAAGATCCAAACCAACATTACAGTATACAGCAGTAATCGCTGAAAACAGATCACTATTGTTTTAAAGGCAAAAGTAGCAATGTTAAGCCTCACTCTGCATTCACATCTAATGAGGTCCAGCACATGGTCTGTAGACTCTGTAGCTCATGAGACATATGATTTAAATAATCCTATTAAGATAATCCTGAATTCCACCGCTGAAGTCCTGTCACGTGTGGAAATTACTGTTTCTCTATTGCTGTCTTTTTTTTAAACTACCAAGTACATAAATACACAAAAAATTGATTCTTAAAACAAGCTAATCCAGCAATAGCACTACATGCACACTAGGGATCATGGATTTCATTATCAGCAAGAAAGCGAGTTTAGACGTATCCAGGTGTGTAGCAGTAGACACAGATGGCATAAACATCTAATATTTATGTTTACCTCTGCTTTACAACAGTTAACTGGAGCAAAGCGTGTTATCTAAATGCTTATTAGACAAGCTTCAATTAAGCATCGGAACGTACACAGCTCCCAGTACGTCCCATGTGTTTTACTGAAGCCAACCGTTAGTAATCATGTGAGCCAGTATTAGTATTGTTAGTATTGTTATTGTTAGAGCCCGAGGCATGTACAGTAGCACGGGGGCAGCAAGTAGCAATCCCAGCCATCCAAAGCCGGCGAGCTCGCCCTTACCAACGCTTCAGTTGTGCTGCTCTCGTTCCCCATGGCTCAGCCAGCTGCAGGGCCACAACTGCCCCGACCGACAGCCTCTCACATCAGCTGGCTGAAAGACACCGGCACAGAAGGACCATCAGAGTACGACTATTCCCAGAGAGACGCAGACTGAACAGGGGATCTGTGGTCCCTCAGTAGTCACAGACTCCTGCTGCACAAGATTAGAGGTCTCTGGTACGAGGTTGAACCAGCAGGGAGGGAGAATGGTGAGTGTGTTGTTTTAGAGATTAGGGACCTGGGATGCAAGACCTCCCTCCCAGACCAAAGTGCAGGCTTTACCTCTGCTGATGTGGGTTTATAATCAGAAACAGCTTCCTCACAGCATCTTGTAATTATAAAAATGATTTCTAGAGATTACTTTAATGGTACATCTACTATGACCAGCAGGCCCCCTCTGGTCTGGATTACCTCAAACAAATGGCATTGCCTCCCAGAATAAAAAACACCTTGACATGCAGTGTGCTGCGACTGAGTGACTGTAGCATACTGACACAGTGACTGAGGCTCAGTAAGGTAATCCTCGTGTGGTAAATAACAGACTGTTCACGAAGTCAACAGGCTATTGAAATCATTCTGGAGCATCTCTAATCTGTAATCACGACATAAACAGTATGTTTTAGAAAGGCTTTGTAAAGATATTTGAATTATTGGAAGAAGAGGACAAAAGTTTTTAGCCGTGGACATATTTTATATCAAATACAGGTAGAATCACTTTCATAACTCCTATCAAATATTCTCTGACAATCATCTTTCTTGTTTATTTCTTTGTTGTATGAATTGCAGCTGAGCAGTAAACACTCGTGCCGACAGAAATGTTGTTTGTGCATTCCTCATATATGACTGCGGGGACTGTACGGTGTATAGTCAGGAAGCACTGACCTGAATATGCAAGACTTTATAAATAGATATCTGCAATGTCCACTGCTGTTAGACTTTATTCCAGTCTTGTGCACAATTTGTCATGCACACTTCATTTCCCCAAAAAATCCCATGGGGAAATTAAATATCTGGATTTCCACCTTACATCTTAATTCTCACCTATTCCGTGGTGTGGCAATTCTTCTCCCTGCTTTCTATTTGTGTGAATGGGGTGTAATTTCAGTCTTCAAGCTGTGGATGTGTGCGCCCTTTAGCTGGCGGCCGTGTTTCAGGGCTTTCTGGCAGCATAGGGGGCACCGGGGCAAATCATGTGATTCGACTGCTGCCTGGTCTCTTCTCACCTCATCTTGGCCTGTCAGTCACTCAACATGAGCCAACGTTTAAGCTCTTGGGTTTGGATGAGCACCGTATGTCTTTGCTTAGACACCTACAGTATGAGGTTACCGTTTCCTGCGCTGTAACTGATCCCTCCACATGGCACAGGAAAACCAGCAGGATCACAACCTGTTCAAAAGTTGGTCAAACTTTGTTCAAAATCCATTATAGTATTTCTCAGATAGCACGCATAATATAATTCAGCAAGGTAAGAGACCGAGGAAAGCAGGTAAACATAGAGTACAGTAGATAAAGTTGTGTTTTAAACCAAGTTCTTCAACCCTGACCAAGGCCACATACATTGAAATCAGCGTACAACATCAAACCAGATGATAACAACAGCGAAACCAAGACACACATTTCAATAAAAGCCTTCGCAATCCCCACTCTTTACCTCGTGCTGCTCTATTTTCATATATTGTTGACCACTACAAACCAAACAAATAATTCAAAAATGTGTACCATTGCTGCAACTCATCAACTACTCACCACTGCAAACAAGAGACTCTTCCACACACCGTGTGAAGCTTTTGACAAACCCAAATCCACTCTGTGTTTACTGTCCAACTCAAGGCCAATGTTTGTTTCTGTCCTCTCCACTGAGGAGACCCGGTCTGTTGCTATTTTTGTATTGCACGCTGAGTGGGAGGAGAGGACGGAGGGTGGACACAGGACAGGGACAGAAGAGGGGACAGGACTGAGGGGAGGAGACCGAACTGGAGCTGGGGAAGCCATGTCTGCTAGTGTGTGTTTGTGTGTGGGGGGGGGGGGAGACATCACCTGCTCTGACAAGCTCAGGAGGCCTGGCAGTCAGCTGGAGGGGACGCTAGTTCTAAAGGCAACACTGTGACCAAACAGGCCTGCTATGGACAGAAGGAGGTGGTGATGCTGTTTCAGTGCCTCTCGTCTGTCCATTTGGCAGAGACTGCCATGTATGACTGACAAGAGTTAAAACGCTACTGCAAACCTGCTCCAACAAGATGACCAATGGCAAGAATAGCAAAGCAACCATGCAAACAGGAGCCAAATTGACATATCTGAACACCAGAGGGTTTGGAATATATTTAGGATCCTGTCTTATCTGCCTTCATCACAGGCCATCTTCAGCTGAGTGCCCAGTCTGGGACACAGCAGGCACAATATCATCCCTATAAATAGCACTGGTTTGATCAGCTCTGTTTCTAACGAGCTTACTTCAAACACACTTGCTCCGTTTCAGATTTCTCCTATCTCAACTGTCATCCAGTCTTTTGCCTGAATAAATCCAACACATGCACGCTATCCATTCGCTTGTCAACCTGCCTCCCATCTTCCTCCACAACTGTCAGCATCACCCTCTCACTGTTTATACTCAGCTCCTCCCTTCCTTGCCGTCTCCGCAGCTCCTTTTCCTTGCTGACGTCACCCCTCCTCCACCACTTGAGTCTCTCTCTCTGCCTCTGCCTGAGTAAAGACTCAGCTGTTGACCAGAAAAAGGGCATTGACTCTTCACTGCAGAGCGCCTCTGCTCATCCTTCCGTTTACCTGTCTTCGTGAGATTCCGATGCAGCTCCCCATCTTGTATTCCATGTCCTCCTCTGGTGAAGTGACTCTGGCACTACATGGCTTGCAGAGCACTTTCCTGCAGAACTGCATCGTTATCAGTCAAGACTGAGCATCGCCAGGAAAGGCAGATCTCTGCTGGAGCTGCTGAGTGAGCGTGTGCACGCTCCTGTGTCTGTATGAGTGTGTGCCTCAGTGACTAATAAGTGCTCGGCACTGCATAGCCCGTGGTGCGCCTGTGACATATATTTTCAAGCCATTGTTATATAAAATCTACATTACATAAGGAACTCAGTAAAACGAGCATGAAAAAAAGGGAGCTTCTCTTTCCAGCCTCATATGCTGCTTAGCCTCACATCACTGCACGGGTGTGACTGAAGCACCGCTTTGGAGGGAAAGAAATGCTCAGAGAGGCAGAGAGGAAGAGATGGGGAGGCAGCATAAAGGGCGTCTGTCCCTTTAATAGAGCCAGGAGATGGTGGTATATCATCATGAGAAGGCGCGATGATATCAATGTGTTCATCCAACTAAATCAAGTTAACTCTAACAAAACAGAGCAGGGGGGATTCTTTTCTTTTGCTTATCCACACTACCTACCTTTACATATTTGTACAATCAACAGAAACATGGATCCTGACAATGCCTGATCCCAAGATAGCAACCATCTACGGTGGTGTCTTTCTTGGAAACGAAAAATTACACAATTAAGGGAGGAACAGGATTAAAGGTCTTCATTTTTGGGGACTTTCAAATTGTTTAAAAAATGATGAAAATGCTGGCAAATGATCTGCACATCAGCACTGCACTATACGCAAATAGAAAGCCTACACCTGGACAGAATAAGTTGATTGAAAAGCAGCATATACGGTAGCTAGGAAACATCGTCCCAACCGGGCCAGAGCTAGTTTATATTCATTCATTCTCAAATCAAATCAAAGTCAGGCAGTGGTTCCCTGACCTTTAGGCTTGTGGACTCTTAAAGTGAAGCAATCTCTCCATGTGACCCATTGTAACCAGTTGCATATCTAGGTCATGGACTTTATGTGAATGAAGTCATTCTCCCTTATGTGCATTATAATCTGAGTTTCTCTGTGCTTTGTTTACAAAGCCAGGCCGCCTGGGTGTTGCGTTTTAGTGCATGTGAGCGTGCCCCACTGGTTAGCTCATGGCGCGCGCTGCACTGCAATGATGAGGCATTAACAGCTGACAACACCTTCCCGACCGAAGGCGTCGATGCGGAAGCGTAGCACCCACCCTCCGGTTCCCCTCCAGCTAAACACTGTTGGCTCTGTCAGCACTGTTGGCTGCGAGCCGCCGGCTCAGTCGTATGTTCAGCCGTGTGTCGGCAATAGATGTGCTCTGAATTTCATATTGAGCTCCTTTAATGCATGAGGTTGACCAGTTAACCCAGCTTTTACCAACCCAAATATCATTCAAACAGAATATAGCATTCATTCACATTCCATAAATAAATGAAAACAGCACCAATACCAAAATTCTCTTATTTCTGTTTTTATTATTCAAACTTCTAAAAACAGTAAAAAGTAGAAATTAAAACAAAATGTGCAACATATCATAGTGCAACTATGATATGTGTTTATAAGAGTGACCTTTACTGAAATTTGGCCTTTGAAAATTTAGAACAATTTGTCTGAATTATTTAGACATTTTAAAAAAGCATTAACACACCTAAAAACAACGTTCGGTTTCAGCTGACGAAAAGTGGCGGGGTCCATCACTCAGTCTGTGTTTGGAAGAGGAATCATTGTGTCCGTGATGTCAAAGGCATCTATAAGCTCCTGGGGGGGGGGGGGAACATTTGGAACATTAAAATCATGATCAAAGATTTTTTTATAAATGTGGGTCTTGTATCGTTGCTCGATTAAGTCTTAACTTGCTAACCTTCCACATTTTGGGACTGATAGAGACAATGCATTGTTTACGGCTGAATGATCCTCCAGCTTCCACCTCTCCCTCCTCCACAGGTGCTGAGACACAAAAACACACAACAGCGGTAAAGTAATTGGCCGAAAAACATTTTCTCTGTTTATTCCCTGGTCCGAATTATACAACAAAATGTTACATCTTCTCACCTATACAAGGCAATTTGGCGTTATCCATGTACATCCGTGCCAACCCATCCTGAAACACACACACAACGTTGCCACACCTGTTAACAGTCACTAGAGGGCAGAAAAGCTCAATTTAAACAAACATAAGTAAAGGCAGCTCACCCTGACAAGAAAGGACGTGTGAAAAATGTTCTCCACTGTCCGGGAAAATGATTTGGGGTCGATCACAAATTCGTAGTAAGATATTGGCGACGTAGCTGCGATAGAAACAGAGATACATGAGCACATAATAATAATAATAATAATAATAATAATAACACAACAATGATGAAATGTTAATGTCCATGAGCTCGGCTTTCAACTCACGATCATCTTGGAAATAACTTTTGAGGTATCCCAGGATCCTCTCCACCTCTTTCTCGGTTGCTTCTTGGTGAGAGCCTTCCATTCTCTTCAGCTGACAGACAACAGTAACATAATGCAGTAAGCATCGGGAACATGAAAACCCTCTCAGACAAGATGCCTTTTGAAAGATTATTGGCCGAATTTGTCACTTTCGTTGGTTGATGAAAGGCTGCTACATTCAAGGGTATCTTAGATTTCTTATTATGAAACAGAGCTGAGTTTGAACCTGTGGTAAAAACCTCTACAAACACACCGCCGACCGGATTACTGGACGACCCTCTCTACCCAGTGAGCCACGGTCGCCCGTAGATAAAGAACTACATTTAGTGCAATAAATGATTGCATTTTTTTTGTTTTGTTTTCAAGTGCAGCAACGTTGGTGTACGTGCAGCTACCTGAGTAGGCATTATCCTCTTGGCTTCCTTGCTGGGGGCCTTCCTTTGCCGTTCTATCCTTTGCTTCGGAGGAGGCGGCTCTGCATGGAACGAACCCATCCTGATGAAACGAGTCCCACGGGAATGAAAATGTCAGAGACAGAAAATAGTGTAGAAGGACAGTAATTAACCAGGTAAAATGCAATAATAGCCTATAAATAAAAACAACTATAATAAACCTGTTTAAAGGCACTTACATGTAGTGGAAGGCGGGTGCTGCCCGGACACAGCACTCTGCTCTCCTGGCCACTCTGTGCCAAGCGTCCTGGGGCAGGTAGCCGTCAGCTGCCCCTCCGTTCTGCTGCTCGTCCTCCCCGTCTTCTAGTCGGTTGAGACCCATGAAGGACAGCTGTCCGAGAAGAAGAGAGATCTCCACATGACCACTGCTACTTGGTGCTCACATTGAAAAACGATTCCGATTTTCTACATCGCTTATAGTTACAAGTTAATCGTGTTGCTTAATAAGTCGTATTTTCTTCAACGTTTTTTCTCCTTTCTTTTGCCAAGTCTCCCTCTGTGTTGTACAATAACGCAGTGTGTTAAAGTTAAAGCCTGTCAGAGTCCCAAATGCACATGTTTAAGTGAGACTTTTCTATAGCAGCAAGTGTCCCTGGTTAGAGTTGAGAGGTACAGAACACTGACTTCAGTACATGTAGTTATAACAATAAAGCTAGAATGATATCTTTCTGTGGTCTTAAAGGTGCATTCAATAGAGGTCACACTGTTCTATATATTTATTTGACTGCTCCTCATTGACGTATAGGACTAATTCAGGGGAAAAATCTGTCTCCCCAAATTTAAACGAAACAATGATGGCAAGCATGTTCAGTTTTTCAACCAAAGGACGAGACTTATTGAAACTGAAGTATGAAATACTGTACAGAATGAACGCTAGCCGGGTCGATTTATCGATCTAGCTCTACTTACTGGTATACCTTAGTGGTGCAAGGAACCAACCAATATCTTGTGTATGTATGCGCTTATAATAGCATAAACAATAAAGTCACTCACAAGATGCTCGGCAAAAGCAGTGGGATCAAAAGCAGTGCCCTCGGCGAACAGTTGGCTGGCTTTCTCCTTTCCCAGATCTGTGGCCACAACAAGGAGCTGGGCATCCAGAGCTGCTTCTCTCGCCTGCCGGACTGCCAGGGAACACAGGGAGAGCACACTGAGCACAATGTAGGGCTGCGTGTTGACGATGACTCCTGAGTCAGGTATGAATTGTTTCTCTGGACTTTGAATTCCTCATTTACATATACTGTAGTGTTACATTTGCAAACAGGCAACTTAAGAGTTCGCCAATTAACCAAACCTGAATGTGTTTGGACTGTGGGATGAGACATTGAGAAAATCAACATTTCTGTGGTTTCAATCACACCTACCATCTTTAAATAGTTTGTTAGCCTCTTCGAGGACTTCTGTGAGCTTGTTGTTGGAGGGTCTCAGCATATCTTCCCTGTTCTCTGGAGGGAAACACACAGGAAGGAAATGCATCAAAGACGTCTCAACAAATAAAGTTAAACAACATGAACGTCCTCTGCCGGTCAGTCTTACTTACGTTGCACTGAGTTGATGAGGTCTCTGTACTTGCTCCGTATCTCTCTCCTGAGTCCCGGGTCATTGTCCTCGTCTTGCATGTCAGCTGTGCCTAAATCACAGTCACCATCGTCCCCGTCACTTTGCTGTTGTTGTTGTTGTTGTTGTTCTCCTTTCCTTCGGCCAGCAGAGCCATTCTGCCGCGTAGCTTCCTCATCACCACCTGCTTTGGCCCTCTTCATCTTTGACGTTCGTCGGTTAGTGGACGAGCTGTGTGTTGTGAGAGGGAAACACGCTGACGTAAAACACAACAGGACCAGTATCACTCTAAACAAAGTATGTCTGTGTTTGTAATAGTTTAGTTAACTTCCTTCTGGCCAAACAGTTAGAAGAATAGAGTATGAAGACAATCGGATTCAAGTTGTTATTTTGCGACAGCCAACATAACCGGTTTCCGTAAAGTTTAGCCAAAGACGTCAGGAAAGCCAAGATAACAATCCGCTACTCTATCCCGTCAACGAGGAGGCTAGGCCAAGTGTTATAGCTTATTTTATACAGTCTTTGTGTTACATTAAATACAAGTCGTCGATGTGGTTGATATCATGCACCGATGTCGTACTGCATACCGTTAAGTGCTAAATGGAAACTATAACCATAGTAACGTTAGCTGTTAACTAACTAGCGTTACTTACAAACAGCGTTTCATTGTATCTCAACAAGTCACACCATTGGTGTAACTGCAAATAGGTAAATGTATGGTTACCAAACGAAAGCGAAAATATATTTAAAAACACAAATCATGTTCGGCTATCAGCAAAACCAGAAGCGACAAACGTAAACACGGAAGTACTACACAGACTGTCATCTCGTTTTAGTTATTTCAGTGCACCTTTGGTTTTAGCAAACGTTAGCTAATGTTAGCTAGCACAATCAGTTGTGTTAACAACGTAGCTGCACGTTAACGTGAATATATTTATCGCTTCTGCTCTAGCAAAGGTCACACTAAAAGTAAACCCATTGCATGCTTTAGTTATTGTTAAACTAGTTGGATATATCCATTTTTCTGACGATAACTTGAACATATGTACCTGTGTGGCAGCAGAAGGCGTTCGTGGAGCGTTTCAGCAGTCTAGACGATGACGAAGTTAGTTTCGTATTGGTACTTCAGTATCTGAGAACGGAAACTGAAATTAAAACTTGTAATCAAATGAAAAATTATATTTTAATAATAATAATAATAATAGTAGTAATAATGCAAAATAATAAAAAAAATAAGCTACTTCCTCCCAACAAAAACATGGAACAAAGGAAATGCATACATCAATTGGAATTCATAAAATGTATTCAAACCTTCAATTTCAAATCAAATTAAAAGGAATAAATAATATGACCGTTGGTGAACATTCTCATTATATTGCCACGTTTCAAGATTAGCATTTAAAGCAATTATCAAGCACTAGGGCTACTTTTAGAAATCAATTTGTAATATTGCCTTTTTTATTTTTACAAACAAGATCCACAATTGACAGGTTTTTATTTATTTTTTGCCAACCTTGTTGAGGTTTCAAATAAAATGCTCTCCCTCTAAATTTCAGATTAACGAACGCTTGACGAATATGGACCTAACTTCAGTAATCGTAAACAACACCCGCCTCTGCTCGGTGGTAAAACAACGAGATGCTCATCCGGGTCACTCACCGGCAGGTGGCGCGCTAATAATTCAAGAGTCTTCGGCTGTTAGCGGATTTATCTTTATGGTTTCAAGTTTACAGTGCTTAGTGTTGTTTTTTTTACATTTCAATTTGTTATATATTTAAAACAAATACGTTAAAACATGTTTACTTAAAAGTAGGCCTACAACGTTTCACATATATTTATTTGATCATTTTAGCTTGAAATAATAATTGCATATAAATTACGTTGTAGTTAAAAACATTAGCCTAATAAAAGTTGCAAAACTGTTCTCTTTTAATGGGGTCTTTTATGATTGAACGTCACTGTGGCTTTTGTTTTAGGCTTCCCGTTATTTGCCATTGTATTGCCCTGTTCGCCTATCCGGGAGGCTATATCATACTATTATTTTAATAGTACGCTACATGCTGGTGTTTTAAGTGGTAAAGTATAATGTATTAATCCTACTTAAATGTTAAATCATTGCAAGTCAAAGGCTTTTTGGCTGCCCGCAAAAACAAGGACAACCATTTCCCTGATCTCCAATATGCTATGATTTAATAAAGCCGTCTTTAAATAGTAAATAGTGAGAGTAAAACTGTCAACCCTCGATCTCTCCCTCTGCTACAGCTGAGGTCGGAGACAGTGAGATACAAATAAGCTCAGCTCGTCTGCAGCTAATCCCTCCATGACCTCTCCGTGCTGGAAAGCAGAAAGAATGCACTTTGTGGATGAGCACGCGGGACCAGAAGCAATGTTTTAACACTCGAAAACTGGCATCGAGGTAATTTCGTTGCTTTGTAATGGGGGAGCTGAGGTCCACGTCTCCCGGGCCTCGTTTAGACCTGAACAACTTTGACTCGGCCGCAGCGGAGAGGAGTCGGCACATCTTAACGAGTCCCCGCTCGCTGGAGTCCTGCACGCGACTCGGTATCAAACCCGTGGAACTCCTGATCAAGTCGCTGAATGACTTCATTGCTGAGCAGCATGGCGTGCCCTTTCAGGCGATGAGAGTCATGCACGAATCGTACGAAAGGGAGAGACTGAAGCTTTTACAAATGTGCCGAGAGGAGAGGCGGAGGATTATCCGGGCGGCGGGCGACAGGTGGCCATCAGGCAGTAACAGAGTGTCAGACTCGGAAGTGGCGCCTGGCACCAAACTGAAGGGCCACAAAGGGGACAGAGAGACAGCGGGGTCCATCCCGTATGCGGAGCTGTGCTTTAAGGGGAAACCTGCCAGCAGGTCCTCTTGTTCTAACAGAGACAGGAGCACGGTCTGCAGCTTCAGTCTGGGAGACCTCAGACACACCCCAGCCACCGAGATGAAACTGGACAGGCTCACCCGGGACATTCAAAAGAAGATGTGCGTCACAGTATCAGAGAGAGACCGCAAGATAGCGGCTCTCATGCTGGTGAAGTACCAGGAGGAACAGACCTGCCTGCAGCTCTGTCAGCAGGAGGAACAGGAGCGACAGGAGGCCCGCAGGCACGAGGAGGCCCTGCGGGCCGAGGCGGACAAACAGAGGAGGAGGAAACTGAGGCAGAGTATGCGACGCTGGCACGAGGAGCTGGAGGCCCGCAGGGGGCTGAGGGAGCGTCGGGAGGAAGAGAAAGCGGGACAGCTGGAGCAGGAGGTGCTGCTGCAAGAAGACCGCTGGAGGAGGCTGAGAGAGGAGGTGGAGGGCCAATGCAGAGAAAAGATCGAGGCTGCACGGAGAGAGGCGGGTGGCCGGAAACGCTACCAGGAGAAGCTACTGAGGGAAAGGGAGGAGGTGGAGAAAAGGGAGCGAGAGAGGGAGCGACAGGTGGCGGCGGAGAAGGAGCAGAGGGCCAGGAGGAGCAAAGTGTCGCGGGAAAGGGAGGAGAGGAGGAGGCTGCAGGAGTTAAATCGTAGGGAGCTGCTACGTCACGTCCTGCTGAAACAGCAGGTAGAGCAACAGGCGGTGGAAGAGGAGGCACAGGTGAGGAGCGCACTCGAGGAGAAGCTGCGACACTCGCGCGAGAAACGCGCCCAGGCCCTGGAGGCGCGGCTGAGGGAGTTGCAGGAGCGGGCGGCCCGGGAGGAGGAGCAGGTTCGGAGAGCGCAGCAGAGGGCCGAGCTGCAGAGCCACCAGCAGCTCGCACAAAAACGGATCCTGGTCCAGCTGAGCCAGCGCCGCACGGAGAGAGCCGCCCTGCACGCATCGGCCCAGCAGAGGAGCAGAGGTCAGGAGGCGCGCCGGCACAACACGCGCAGGCAGCTGTGCCACCAGAGGCTGAGGGAGAAGATGCAGAGGGAGGAGGAGGCCGCGAGGAGGGCCCGGGAGAGCTGCATCTTCATGAAGGACTGGAGGAGGGAGAGACTGCGGAGACAGCGGGAGCAGATACAGGAGGAGGCGCACCGGCTGGCTCGGGCCTCCTTTCACATGAGGGACAGAGTGAGACAGCAGACGCACAGGCGAACCTTTGACCAGATGGCTCTGGAGGCTCAGCTGACTGCCCCCATGAGCCGCATGAAGCTATGAAAGGAATGATCAACTCCCATCCTGACGTCTGCAGCAGGCAGTGCCATACAGTGTTATAACAGTGTGCTGCTGAATGATGAACGTTGCTGCACGGGGGCCCCGGAAAATGCAATTATTGTGTCAGAGCTGTGATTTTAGTGGTGTAATGACTCACAAAGCCACAGTTTCACTTTCTTATGATGCAGAGTGAGAGATTGTGTCATATATTTTCAATTTCATAAGTTGATGACATTTATATTTATAACAAGTTGAGAATGAAACAGTGGAGTTCTGTCTGACTTTGTGGTGACCTCCCATCAGGATACTGAACACTGAAGCAGTGCTTTATAGCAGTTATTTTTATTGCGAACGCATGAAATTAAGCGATGTCTTGTTGTCAGGCTGCATTATGTAAATGAGCTGTGAACAATTCAACCAGACTGCTTTAAACTTTTTGACATAACAAAATATTCTATTAAAACCTCAAACGTCTGATAGAATAAACTTCATTTCGCTTTGTAGAAATGTTTTTTTCTCTCTCCTTTGTATCCTGTGAATCATCTTGTAACCCTTGTGAGTTATCTTTGGATCTCCTGCCATATTTATTTTTCCAGGATGGAGCAGAAATTACCACAGAATTAAGGGTTAACTTGTAGCCTGCTTGAAGGCTGACATCTGTGTTTTGAATGTGATACGAGCAGCCATTAGCAGCCAGCGGAGTGCAGATAACAGTTAGGGAAAACTTTAGGGAGGTTCAATAGGAGATAAGCTACAGCGCTCTGAATGAGGCCAGACTCTGCTTAGTGTTAAGCACCATTGTGTTATTTCTGCTCCTCTGACTTTATGCAGTGTCTCACCATAACCTCATGTCTCACTAGAAGCACTTTCAAAAACACTTTCTTTGTTCAAAGTAGGGCAGATTAAGCAAAGCGTTGAATTACAAGATTCAAGCATAAACAGTAGTTCATGGACTCAAGTTGAATGACGTTTGTCAGTGTAGAATAGAAACAGCTGTGACTGCTCCGGCACCTGATTTCAAATGTCACTTCTGCTCTGGACCATAAGAAATGGAGTATTTATAACTTTGTTATAAATGTTTTATTTCATCTTAATGAATAAATCATACTTTTAAAGTGTAAAAGGCCTTTTGTTTTCATATCCGTATTTAACCCTGGTTAACAGTTTCCCACTGCAACAAAAAAAACAAAAAGAGCGAGACACTAAGCAGTCGAATAAGCCAACATAACATGAGCAGGCATGTTTTTAAGAAGAGATGACCCGGATTCTTATGAAATGGACATAAATTCAGTTGGAAGTACCTACTTGATGTACAACACCTGTCAGCCACCGGTTTCTCTGAGGCATGGATTATTTAACAGATTTAAAGAGCCGCTGGGCTTCCTACGTATTGTTGCAGCCCACATCCCAGAGGCTTTGGCAGTTGTACTGATAATTCAATTGCACAGTTGCTTGGTCACTTGTACCACTGCACATTGATAGACTTAAAACCGGGCTCTATTCAACAAAGTAGATCTCTTCCAGATTATTTGGTTGTTCCAAATGTATCAAGTCACTGGGATTTCAGCACTGAACGTGCCGTGTCCTTAGATTGACACGATGAAAGGGCCACGAGAAGGCTTACTAAATTCAAACTTGGCAACAAATGATACCCTTTTATTGACATTCAGGGAAACTCATTCTACCATGGACAATGCATTAGCTATCAGATTCCTTACACCCACTTTGATACTCAAACAATAGCTGGACTTTAAGACAAGTTTCACTGAAACAGAAACACAGTTTAAAAAGGTAAACTCGAGGAGTTTTCCTTTCAGCTGTAGCGGCACTGTGCCCTTTGCGCTTCACTTAATAGCCCATAGACATTTTCTTCTCAGTCGTCATGCAGCCCGAGAGCCAGCACCATCGGGAGCCCGACCCCGAGGACCAGGGTGAGGCTCTCCAGGAGCCCCAGGTGCTGCTGATGGCGGCCCTCGGCTCCGGTGTGCCGCTGGAGGTCAGTGGGCGGTTGTCCCGTCTTGACCTCGGGGAGAACATGCACCGTGGCCACGTAGAGGAAAGTCCCAGCTGAGAAGAGCATTCCCACACCTGTCGCACTGAGCTGGCTCTGAGATGAACTGCCAGACTGTGGACACAAACCCATCCAATCAAACAATGCAGAAGCACCAACTGAAACTCTGTAATAAGAGACAATACGGCTGATGTGTTCTTTCTTACTGCATGTAATATGAAGTATGTCGTGATGGCAAGTATCGGTGCTGCTGCCGAAAAGGCCAGTAAATGTCCCTGAATGTACTTCTTTTCGAGGCCTGTGTGCATCAGAAAGGAGACCAAACCAAAAGCTGCAGGCGCCTACAGGAGATAAGACATATCAGGTCTTATTGTCATTTCTGTTACATGTTGTCTGGTGATACTTTATATACTGTATACAGTATATACACATATACGTCACTGCAAAGTTCTGTCAGGGAGGCTCACCTTGTGTAGGATCACAGCTAAAAACACTATAACCTGCACTGTCACTTGACCCGTGGCCACAGCTGCACCCACAGCAAATCCGTCGGCTACACACAAACAAAACAAAACAATCGTATTAATGGGCTCAACAATCTGGACAAACATTACATCAAACCGATGGAGGAGTCTGGTTTGATATATCCTTCTTTGCGCCCAATCTGAGCTGAGCTGAAGCCTCCAGGCTGTGCTACAGAAAAAGTAGTTAATTTATAACATTGAAGAGTCAAACAGTGAAGGAATCACATGCTGAGTCACATGAGGAAACGAACAACTCCAGCGCTTTGTGGCCTAGGAATTCCTGGAAAGATCTTGTGTACTTTGGACAAACACACGTCAGTAGAAACAGTAGAGTAAACACTCTATAAGTACCTGCACCATGAATAACCAGCCCCAAAGTGGCTGTGATGCCGACAGTGTTGGGCAAACGAGCCGTTCGGTCTGAAACGAGACATTGCACATGTTGTGGAGATAAATACAGAGATATGTTGTTGACACTCAGCAAAATGAAAATGCCAACTTGCCACGAATGGAGAGGTAACTTGCGATCTGATCCACTACAAACATGAAGGTGAACCCGAAAGTTAGAGCCACCCCAATGAGGAACCGAGGCGGAGGGCCTTTCTCTGTGGAGGTTACAATTTTATTTTTCTCACTGCCATTCAGACCGGACTGCGCATCAGAGGAGGAGGAGGAGGATGAGGATGATGCTGCAGAGAGAAGATGAAAGACGGGAAAAAGCTTTTGATTAAATCAACATAAAAGACAACAAGGCCGAGCAGCATGTGGACCGCTAAAAGCCCGCTTTCATCCCTGTGTGCTTCATCGCTCATCTCAATGGGTTAGAAACAAGAGGCGGCGGGTGAGGATGAGGAGGCTTATGTGTGATGAGTTGGCAAGACAACCAAGGGGAAAAAAGGGGGTTGGAAGGGGTGCGTCCAAATAAATCCAGGACGGTAAGGTTGTGTTTCATGTTTGTCCGCCGAGCTCACCTCTCCATGACTCCTCCAGTAAGCCCACTCCCTCGGGGATGGTGATGGCCAGCGCTGTCCCACACAAGAGTCCTGCCCCGAGGATGGAGACAAACTGCAGGCTTTTCTGTGGATTGACACATGATTTCAGCTGATCTGTGGGACTGACACAGCAAGCTGGAGCGATTTTTTTCAGACGCCAAAAAGCAATGTTGCTCATTCATGAGAACATAAAACATTATCTATTAAAAAAAAAGAAAAGAAAAAAAAGTAAAACAAAATAAAGATAATAAAAGAAACACTTACCTCAGAAAGTCTGAACAACAGTGGGATGAATCCGAGTGCTAAACAGCCCACAAACATCGCAACCGATATTAAAGTGATAGTTAACCCTCCGTCCATGACGGCGGATTCTTCTTCTCACAAGTGGTGACTTAGTTTGACAATCAGTGCTACATTTTGGCATCAGACTGTGCTGGAAGCTGGTCGTCTGCTCTCATGGTGTCGCCGGGATTCCGCTTGTTGAAACGCAACAGACGTGTAGTGCCATTCTGCCTTTCCACGTCGCACGTCGGTCTCCCTCTGCAGCACAGCAGCTCGTCCCTCTGAAGCAGCACCCAGTGTCGGACACGGAGAACTGCACCTCCCGCCCACATCAACCTCTGGTCCTCCAATCATCTACCTCCATTCTTTTAACGCAAACAAAATGTGGCCTTTAATTAAGCACAGAAAGGTGTCTGTTTTTGGATTAGATGTATCGCGCATGCAAATACATTGAGTGTTTCCCAACCGCGGGGTCGGGGACCCCCAAAAGAGGTCGCAAGGTAAATCTGAGGGGTCGCGACATGATGAACATGACAAGAACTAGAAAAACTGATTTTTGCCTTTACTTTTCTACTGAATTATTATATTTACCTCTTCGAGCCTCTAAAGCTAAAATTGAGAAAACGTATAATTAAAGGCATATCAACCAAACCAATGTGATTCATATCACATGTCATTTAGTACGTTTTGGGTATTGAGTGTGTTCACACTGGAAAGTGGCCAAAAAGACCAGACAGCATGCATAATAAATATGGTGGATTTTGAGTGTGCCGTTTATAAAACACTTTTGACCCACAAAGCAAAAAACAAATATATGGAAGCCCTTCCCCCACTGTGAGGAAAAAATAAAGATCCTGTAAGTCATTATAATGACTTCATTATAATGAGATGCTATCTGAAAACTTCGACTTCGCAGCAATTTTGAGATAGTAAGTCATAATGACTTACAGGATCTGTATTTTTTCCTCACAGTGGGGGAAGGGCTTCCATACAAAGAAAATGGAAGAGTTGCTCACAGCTGGAAGAAACTGCATAGTGACCATAGACTGTACGGTGGTGGCAATTCAGGCTTTTGTAAGGTTCACTTGGCAGTGACACGTGGAAGTCAAAGTATGGTGTCGATCAAATGTTGACATTGCATACATGCATTGGATCATTTTCTGTTAAATACGTGGTTTGTTTTGCACAACACCAACAGTATATGCTGTATTAGTATAGAGATTTGAACACAGCTAATGTTTAGTAGTCACGAGACCAAGTAAGTCTATAGCAGCAAAACACCGAGTGCGTTGAATTAAATGTTCTATTGTTTAATTATTTTACTTTTTGTGTGAGAGGAAAATGTATTATTTCATTGCTTTAAGTGACTATAGTTAACAAAACGCTCATCGTCAATAAACAGGATTAAATACAGATTTATTGTTCAAAGACCTGGGGTGGGGTCGGGGGGAGGGGGTACAATACATCTGTTACTGACGGCCCTGTGGAAAGAATAAGAAAATGAGACGGTCAAATGCTGAGATTGGCTATAGTTACTCTTCCTATCTAGAAAAATGTAAAACTATAAAAAAGTCAAAGCACACAAACAAACACATTCTAATTGCGCACAGATTTGAGACACAGATACACATGTAACTACCCATTCTGAGCACACTGTAGAGACAAGCTGAGAACTTCTATTAGAAAGTGCTTGGCTGTTTACATAAACAATCCATATATGTTCAATGAGTCCCACTATCTGTACAGATCTTATGAAGATACGCTAAAATAAAAAGGATTCATCATGAGCAGTTAGAAAAAGACTACTGGAAATCATTGCAACTATCAGACTGACAAATGTAGATCATGTTCTCAAATGGTATGCCATGCCATGGCTCTGGACACCAGGAAGATCTATATATAAATTATAAGTACAAAACGTATCATTTCTGGTTAGCTAGTGAACCGTCCTATTGAGGCTGTGTAAATACAGCCATCATGCTATTTGCTATAGCCACTTTCAACTTACCAAAAGTTGCGGAATTAACCTACATTCTGCGTTTAAACACTGGAGCTGTTAGACAACATGAGACATTTAAGTATCTCCCTCAGGGATGGACCGTGGATGTTATTTTGACAGGACACATTCAGAGATTTAAAGACATCACAGAGGTATAAAAATAAAATAAAACCACCCCGTCATGACTAGAAGAGCACCAGACTCCATGGTGTCAAACAATTCTCTTGTTAGTACCATAATGATAAACCCATTTGTGGTGCCAATATACCCATGGACAAATTATGGAAACAGTTTAGTTGTCGTCATTACACCCACAAGGGGTGTGCCCTTCTCCGTCAATCATATCAGTGAAAGTAAGATTAGTGCACATTTCACACACTAGTTCTGTGAGCAGCTGGATAATACATGTTCATTATTACGGCCCAACAACAATAACTGGTCCACAGTGACAGACTGTAGTGGTCATTTGTCTGCATCACTTGTCCGTGTTCACCAACGATCTTCTTTATGTTTAACGGGGCAGCTCATAGTGTCGTCTCGACTCGGGGAGAAATGAAATGACGGTAACAAGACGCTTGATAGATCCTGAGCACGGTCATAGCTGTGTGGGCACTTTGTTTCACATTATTATTCGTTACTTGCCGTTAGTGTTGTTTAAGTATGCGTTTCTGTCCGAGTACTCCTGAAAAGGAGCCGCTTCATATGGCTGAGGCAGACCAAGATCGAGTGTGGAGTTGTGGTACAATACTATTGCTCTGTCACAGGCCTGACAACTGGATCTGCAACTGGAATGTACAACTGTGGGGGGGAACGATGATTTCATAAAGTCAAGAACAGACATAATTAATAAATATTCCATTTTGATTTCAATGGCAGGGGCATAGTAGTATTCAATAACATCATACTTAAAGTTTTAAGTAGATGTGGACCTCTCTCAAGTGGCCTTGCCGGTCTGATAAATTGTGCAATTCTGTTGATAACATGAGTTAAACAATTTATGACTACGTATTGAGTAATTGCGAATGGGAAACCGTTACACTGCTCGGTGACCACTGGAGCAGCTGGATGAAAATGGAGAGGACCTGGAGCCACCTACACTGATTTCAAAATAGCTACATGACGACGTAAACATATGGACAAAAAGTTACAAACGAAAAACAACAGATAAAGAGAACCAGTCACAATGAGTATCATGTGAAGCTGACCCAGCCCCCCCCCCCCCCCAAAATGGCCTCTCTCCACATCCTCTGAGCAACACAGAAGGATCGGCAGGCTCCTGGCCTCCAGTCCTCCTACAGCAGTCGTGCAAGGACTTCCCCCTACCGGGTGTAGCATCAGTAAGTAGCAGCAGCAGCAGCAGCAGCAGCAGCAGCAGCAGCAGCAGCAGCAGCATGCCCCCCCCCCAAATGTTCAGAGACTGAATGCCAAAATGATCATATTCAATGTAGTGTAGACCCAAATTCCACAGTTCAGGGATGTATCAATCTTGATAGCATTTAAAATTAAATGCCTTCAAATAAATACCATGTCAAAAAAAAGAGGCTATTTTACAGATCCAGAGTTTTGTAGCTGTACAGTGTCAAAAGCATCCATGAGTGTTAGTAGCAATGATTTAAAAAAAAAAAAAAAAAAAAAAAGTCTTTGAGACCACCACATCTGCACAGACCAAGCTGTCTGGTGGTATGGAAAACTCCTCTCGCATCAGCTGCTTATTCAGGGGAAGCATTTAGTGCAGACAATTAGAGACACTGGCAAAGGACTATAGAAAAATCCCTCCACCATTTGAACTTGAAGGCATGCTGTACTACAGTACCCTAGTGAAACTCGAGCTCTTGGGACAGGTCCTCTCTTTCAAGTGCAATTATGTTCAAAGAAAATACAGAGAGAACATCACTTCCCTTACAAAACAAGGCAAACTATTCTTCATTTGTGCATTAGTGTCTTTCTTTCATGGGTCCATGTGCAGTTTTTTGGGGGGGATTTGCCTCAGCTATAACGGGGCAGAAGGACGTCGCTGGCCTTGCATTGTCAGAGTAGATTCCCTCTGCAGGTATACAGACAGAAGATGTGGTTTAGTGAGATCCAGTGAAGAAAATGCAGGAGTCCTTGAGCAACAATCCATCCAATCCTTAGCAGACGGTGTGCTTATGTTAGTGTCAAGTCCCTCCATGGAGGTTGAGATGCTTTGTAGAACGGTTGGTTCCTAGTTTAATTCACATATTCAGTGCACTCCTCAAGGAAAACTCAGGAGATTTTTTTGTTGTTGCTCCAGGCAGTATCAGTGTCGAACCTCATTATCGATGAGGCTGTCCTCACCGGACTGGAAGTCCTCATTCAGGCCATTTTCGACATTGATTATTTCCTCGTCCTGCGAGGAACCCTGGCCGTCCGAGCCAGTGCCTGAACCAGCCTCCTCTGAGTTTGGGTCTTGAAGAACCTGAGCAATGTACATTTGCTGTAGGCGAGACAATGAAATGAGAGAGAATGTTAAAGTTTGAGACCCATTTGATGTTTCATGATAAGTTCTCCTTACAAAAAGCAGCCATTTAAGTTAGGTAAACAACAACAAGGTCAACAAGCATTGCTGAAGTTGAGAAAGCTACAAGCTCTTTCCATTGTTTGATCTTGAGGCTCATATTGTTATAAAACAAACATGACTGAATACTCACTGCTGCCTTGTTGGCGGCAGAAGTGCACACTGGACGGCCATTCTCCAACCCGTCCACCGCCAGGGTGTCAATCTAGGACAGAAAACATGCATTTAACACAAGCAGCTGAATATAATACTGGTCACAAATACCAGTGAATTTAGAAGACATGAATAACATGAAGGCATGGATGTCTATCTTGTTACCTTGTAGTTGTGAGCGCTTAGATATTTAAAGTGTCCGAAGCAGACGTGAGATAGGCAGATGATGATTGTGATGATCAAAACTATGAACGTGAACATAGATGTGGCAGCTGAAAACCCTGGGGGAGAGAAAGTGGAGGTTTATCAGGAGCTTGTACTTTACAATGCTTCCGACCAAAGTGGCAGACGCTGCAAATGAATATGGGGACGTGTTAGGACATTAGTGGCCTGTAGATGGAGTCCTCGTCTCACCTGAGCGGACGGTGGAGAAGAACAGGAGCCAAAAGAGACAGAGAATAGGAGCAGCAACCACTTGGTTGACCGCTCCAGAATGGATCTTCTTGCTCAGCTTGGAAGGCAGATAGGCGTAGTACATGTTGTACCTGTCTGCGAGGTGTTTGAGCAGCATGTACATCAGCCCTGCGCAGAGAAGGGAGACAAAACAATTAGTGGGACTAATCCAATTAGGCCTGCTGATAAGCTTCTGTACAACAGAACAGAGCACCTGAATGCTGCCTGGCCTCTCTGTCTTTCTCCTGCAGTAATTCAATAAGCGCACTATCTTGTGCAGTAACCCCTGTAGGGCACTGAACTCACCAAAAGGGACGATGATTGGGCAGGTGATGCTGTAGGTCATTACCACAGTGAAGACACACATCATCCAGGCATAAGCTGCCCCGAACTGGAACTCATAAGCTTGGTGCTATGAAGGCAAAATGACAGGATATTAAAGAAAATCCAAAATCTTAACATCCTAATTTCAACATCCATCATGTGAAGCTGATTTAAGATAAAAAACAAAGTCTTGGTTTTCTGATCTGTATTTAGCTTCATAATTGGCTTATTCATGTGCACCACAATGAAAGAATGAATTGGCTTCTGTCAGGGGAAATGTTTTTGTTAGAGATCAGTTACACCCAGCTGTTCAATCTTAAACCTAACGACTTAATGGGACATGGACCCAGAGACTACGTCAACTCGGTAAGCAGGGGACACACTAACCCTCTTGACGTTCCTCCTCTCTGCTGCAGAGCGAGCCAGGCAGAGGCGGATCATGTACATAAGTAGACCGGGGATCCTCAGCAGGTCCATGGCATTACCAATGAATGCAGACGCAATGACATAGTTCACGAAGAAGGCTCCATTGTCAGGAAGGAACACGCACCTAAAGAGCAAAGAAATAGTATCACTCAAGGACTGAAGTCAGACTCGCATTGAAGTTTGAAAAAGGATGATCGCAGAAGCCAATTTTATTCCAAATTAATTGAAACTGTTCTGCTTTGTTCCGAGTTGTATTGAAACGTCCGTAAAAATCACGATACTCACTCAAATCTCACTTTAGCATCGGCCAAGAATTTTTTGTCAAAAAGCCAGCGGAAGAAAACATCCAAACTGCAAAGATACAAGGAAAGGAAGGAATCAGCTCAAATATCTAGGCTGCCAAAAATGAATTCATGTGAAGCTTTACATTTCATTGAGTTGCAGAGCAGAAATCAACAACATCCTTTACCTGCTGAGTCCTAGGGAAGGCAGCAACAGGACCATAAAGATCAAGAAGGTGTAGCATTTATGCATCGTGGCCCTGTTCTCGCCTGACCTGTAAGGCCAAAGGAAATATTTACACACTCAACCTGAACCTCGAATGGGAATAGAAACAACATGACTCTGATATGTTGATGTGTTGACTGCAGACAGTGTGAACCTTACCGGGTCCAATGGGCTTCAAAGAAGGCAGAATAGTAGACAATGGTAGGAAGTAAGGCGGAGAAGGACCACAGAAGGAGGGTGGGGAAGAACTGGGTGACGATTGGATTCTGAAGGACGGATCAGATAGACATGGACACGTGTCAAGAGTTGAGAGGTGAATCCTTCTGCCTCCGCAACAGCGCGCAGACTTGTGATGACTTGCATTGGAACGCTCAGCATCAATAAAACACTCACATTTAGGTACTCGACTGGTTTGGTAACATTGAACTTGTCCATTGTGGAGATGATGATGGCCGGGGTGGTGAGGAAGAAGAGGAGGAGGAAGAGGACAATGTTGATGATTAGGCAGCGCATCCACCAGAAGAATCCTCCCACTGACAGATGCTCCCTGTGGGATGAAGGTTATGTAGCGGTTAGATCGACACTCGCCGATGACCCGCAGTTATGGACACAGCTGGCCAGCAAACCGATACTGCTGCTCAAAAGACTGTTTATCATCTGGAGTCTCTTCAAAGTGGAATGAAGTCTAATTATTCCTCAGCGGGATATTAAGAGCATTAAGTGTGCATTTGTAGAATTCCCTTTGGGCATCAAGTACTTTTATCTTGCCAAAATGTATTCACCCTATTTGGGCCATTTTTGCAGACAGAATACGTGACGTGAATGCGTTCTTACCAGTAGACATTTTGCGGATCAGGGGCGTAGCTGACAGTCCAGTTGTGTGTGTGGAGCGTGGCGTTGAATCGAGAGCTTTTGGGCTCCCGACGACACTGACAGCCCTGACACTTGCAAGCATTAAAGTCTTTCAAGATTCTGATGAGAAACATCCATCCAGGCAAGGAACAGACATTACAACGTTACCAAATAATCTGTAAATTCAAAAAACAATGTCACAGATGCACAGTCACAAATTTGACCAGCCGTAAAAGTACTTACGTGGCAGTTATGGATTCATTTTGGAAGGTGACAAAGGCCATTCCTAAGGGCTTCCTGTTAACCTTGTCTCTCTCCTTCCTGTAGTCTTCTTTTAGTTGGGCCTCCAGCTTAGTGTAGTAGCTCACTGCCTCTTCCTGTGAAGGACAAGGAAATCTAAATCAGAGTCTGTGACTTTTGATCATCTCACATTGCAGTTAGTAAATAGCACTTAATACACAAGGTCGAGTACATGATTATCTCATAATTGTATAAATATCAACTCAAACTATCGCTTGCTTTTGTAGATGTAAGAATCCTTCACTCACTGAATGAGGAAACCATTATTATATTGGGTACATTTGATCCATTTAGGTGTTTGTAGTGATTTTATTTGAGTTTTAAATATGTTCACAGTGTCATTTTAAATGCTTTTTATTTTTTAAGTTGTTTTTTTAGTTATTTGTAATGCATGTCAGTAATGTAAAATTGAAGTTAGCTCAAGGAGCTTTGTGACTAAAACACCAACAGGCAACATTATGATAGATGTGGTTTACTAAGGCGGTGATAATATAGCAGGAGATGGATAATATATCTCCAGGAGCAGGTACCTGTGTGTTACATTGCTTATATGTTTTCCAGCATATCTCCAATTCTTCAAATGAATCTATAAGAGGACTGTAAAATCAGATAGATGCCTTCTTTATCTTGTAAATACATTTCAGGAGTGTGGTGCTTTAAGATCTAGCGACAGTATATCATTCTGACCTGCTCACAGCCTTTGATGATGCAACAGCAAAGGTGTCCGAAGGGTTTTGGATTGATCATGGTTGTAATATGCTCCTTGGCCAGCAAGTCAATGAAGAATTTCTTGCTGCGCTCGGTCTTCTTCCTGCATGCAAAACATCAGCTGTGTCAGACTAGAAGAGGGGCTACTTCACTGAAACAAGACCGGGTCCTGGAGCCAATGAGACACTTCACAAGTACATCCCAAAATGCAATTATGGACAAAACATACCTTTCAGAGTTGAGATACATCAGCCTGGCCACATTGTAACAGATACGTGCTTCCAGTACAGCACAGTTTTCATACGCCTGCCTATGAAAGAAGAGCGGGGAGGGAGCAAGTCAAAGACTGGATACACATATTGACAACAGCAAATTGTATTTACAGGAGATGACATATCTCTGTCCAACAGTTAATGGCTTCGTCATTTATTTTTGGTACTCAAGTTTGGAGGAGTTTTTGTGGTGCAGGAGCAAAGATACGATTTTGATTAACAACATTTGGCTAAGTAGGAGTTGAGCCAAACACCCCGTCCTCAGTCTTCGACCATCTTGACACATGACTTGCATGACCCTGCTCATCTGGCTTCTATTATAAACAATTACACGAATAGGCCCGTCATTGTCTCACCCCAGCCATATGGGGCCAGCACAAGACAGCTGCTTTTAACAGGAAAAGGCACGGCTCTCATACACCTTAATACAGTTACTGCACAGCTTACTGTCATTTCGACCATTTTTGGAAGCAGACAGATTGAAGCATTGTGAGATTTGAACAGTGGAGCCAGGATACCACTGATCCTGACGGCTGCTTACTCAAAGTGTTGCTTTATCTCAGATTCCTCTGCGTATTTGGAGATTCCATTGACAAATAAAGTGCGTTTCACCTGCATGGAAATGAAGACAGGGAAGTAATTAGCAACAAAATTCAGACCCGCGTGTGTACAAGCAGTGAATAAAAGAGCCATTTTGTGAAGCCATGTCACCCACCAAGTCGTCCTCCTTGTAGTGCATCTTGGAGGTGTGCCGTCGCATGCTGTACACCGTTAGTAACAGGTAGAGAAATGCAAAGATGGTGTGCAGCCAGAGTAGTGCATTACTGAGGACATAAAGGGTACAAATTAGAAAGTGACAACTCAACATAAGGCTTCAAAGTACAGTATAAAATATAATAAAGTGACTCACTCTGCATTCAAATTTGCTATAGTAGTTCGCCCAAAACTATAGGCATCGTTTTCTGTGGGAAAAATAAAAGAAACAAGACAATCACTCGTCAGTCACCAGAAGTTGTGCTGCCTACTTGCAGCTCACGGTGCTCCACAGTCCAAAGAGAAACAATGAAGAAGAATCATGAATGAGGGTCAGGGTAGCTAATGAATGTCCCTGACACTAAGTGTCCATGAATTAATGAATAATAGTTGCCATAAGTCTGAAGCACCTAAAAACATTTAGTCACAGGAGAAAAAAGGAAATTGTCAGATTTCTCAAAATCAAAGTATGATTCATTCAACACATTTACTTGCTGTGTTGTCATTCGTTTTTTGTATTTTTTAAACGTTAGCAATTGTTTGGACTGACATGCTAAAGAAGTCTGCAAAGCTTTGTATGCTTTTATTCATGAGAAGGAATTTTTAGTCAAAATCACAAAGACGGGAGAACAAGGAGCCTCACCGTGTTAAACACTGCCAGCAAAACTAATACAAAAAAAACACAAGTAATCTCTAAATCTCTAAAGATCCCCTGGAAGTAAATTCAAATGGACTCACCAAGTAGGTTTCCCGAGAAGTTAACGGGCAAGATGATGCCCACTGACAGCACGCCCACCACTACCAGCAGGCCGATGATGTGGCGCTGAAAGGACAAGTAATGTACTGCATCCTCACCACACTTCTCCCTTATCTCCTCATCCCTATACAGAGAACACATCAACAAAGTCAACTGCAGTTCAAAACAGAACGTTCCATACTCTGTTTAATCAGTGTTCCACCCATTGTTCTAGTTTCCTATATGCGGCGAGTAGGTTGACTCACTTGATGCGGAAAATGGCAGTTAGCCAGGAGCAGAAACCCTACAAATAAAGAGAGAGCATAGAAATGAAAGGTGTAATAGGTATAACATATATCCCAGATGACAGGACACTATACTTAATCCTGTAAGAACAACGGCATACTCACTGTGTCTCTCTGATCAATGTCCACAGAGCTGGAGACAGAAGTGAGGCGCTCGTAGCGTTCAGCTGCCTCTGATGTCATGGCAGAGGCCATGCTGTATGCAGAAAAACACAACACATTGCATTTGCATGATGTTACACATCTACCTAACATCACCACCTACCATGAGGCGATGCTAGTACTTTGTGTTCCTGTGACAGCAGGGTTACCATCAGGGTGGAAAAGCTGACAACACAAAAAACACACACACACTCACACTCACACTCACAGACCAACACAAGCACTGAAATGGACTGAAGAGATTCACCACTGTTTGTTCTGATTTGAGTTGGTTAACCAGTCAACCACAGGAAGAATCTCTGCAGACACATTTCATGCAGCATTAGGAGTCTACTTTACACAGGTTGAGTACACCATCATTGCCAGAGGAAAGGTTGTGATAAAAAGGGTTAGAAGGCGAGGCTCTACAGAAAAGAATCTTCACAGAGGAAACAACAGAAACCCAGGGATTATAAAGATTTATGGAGTTTGTCCGGCAGAGCCACAGGTTCTCCTGGATATAACACGGCATCAAGACTTTAGTAGATACTGTATACATGTGTGATTGCACTCCCCGGGGAGGTTATGTCAATGTATGCATAACTGGAAAATATGAAGAGAACCCAGGCTCTGCTGGAATTCCAACATTGGTTCAGTGTTCAATACTACATGAAAGGATGACGTCACGCAGGGCTCTAAGATCTCTAATGGAATGAGGAGAGAGCCTGCGGATGCAATCCACCATCAGGCCTCCTCTCGCACATTCCTGTGAGAAGTGAGAATGGCTCTTCTTAGCTCTAGCGGACAGGATGTACTGTAACTGCTCCGTGTTAGGGCCTGTACATGAACAACAACAGGGAAGCATTACCTCTCCCTGTAAGCATCCTGTCTGTGCAGCTCATGAGGTGCGCTCACACCTAAGAAGTCCGCGCTTCATAAAGAGGTCAATGCACAGATTAACACACACAGATCTGATTAGGACAGTGAGAGAGGATAGGCACAAACAACAATGACACAGAGAGGGAGAATAATTAGGAGCATGGCTCTGGGAAACGCCTGGAAGAGGAGGAAGAAAAATCTAAACCATCAAGAGTGAAAAACAGGCTGAAACCCACAGTGGCCTGGGCAGAGTGGAGAAGAGTTATGAGTTAACTACAGAGTCAGGAAAGGAGAGAAGGAAAAAGGCAGTGAGCCAATGATATGTAGAGAAAACATACTATTCCCGATCATCCAGGCGACTGTACCGTTGATCCACTCTTCTGGTGAACAGAGAAGCAAAACAAAGCCATTCAGCTTGAGAGGAAACGGCCCTGTTGGCCAGTAAGGCTGCTGGTTCAGAGAAAAACTGGGAAGGCATTTTACACCACAGGCATACCAATGAAGGTTTCTGTTTATCGTGGTGTACATTATACAACCATTTAAATGCATTTATGGCCTATGGTAAAATAACCCTTTCATGAGAGTCACAGCTTATGTAGCCGGAGCAAAAGAAACATTAGATTTATACCCCATTTTTGATGATTAATAATAAAGCTTCCTAGTTAGCGTTTCAGATGTTATGAGCATTTAAAAGACGGACGTTGATCTCAAGTCAGCACAGTGTCATGAGATAAAAAACTGCATTTCATTACAAAGGTCTCCCACGCGGCAACCCCCCTCCCATCCTCCCACCACGCTGCAGCCCCACTCTCTGCTCACATGCAGCTGCAAAAATAGTGAAGCTGCAACATCACACAAACACAGCAGGGGGATGTAGGTGATGGAACACTGTGTCTCGCATGTTCAAGGGTTCACAGTTGAAGAGGTCTGCAGCGACGTCTGAGCCCCCTCTCTCCCTAACTCACTCATGTTTTTTCACCTCGAAGCTTAAAAAGGAGCCGTCCTCGTTGACAGGCGCCTCTTTGGCTGCTTCCACAACGATTCTCGTTATTTGATCAGTGTCCAGACATCAGTCTCAAATGATCCCAATATATCTGGAAGCATATCATCATACAATAACTACAGTCCACAGCTTAGATGCAGACAGTGGCTTTAAAGTGTTCTTGGAAATAGATCTAATATTTAAATTATTACCAAAGTTACTAATCATTTGTTCCTTTTTCACTCCATTTCATGTTTATTCCAACAGTCTGGCATTTCTATGTCAAAGTGAACAAACCGTGTAACAAGCGACAAAGCATGACAATGTCAGCGTGCATTATTGCGGTTACAAGCGGGAAACTGCTGACACAGACTTCCCGTCTGGGGAACCATCCTTGTGATGCCTGCTTCCATCAGAAATCAAACTCCACCCCCCAGAAGTCTCAACTAGCATCCACAATGAACCGCCACACCAAGTGCCAATTAAACTTAAATGCCGACAAGGCTTTTTTCATATTGTGCCTCCTGCAACTGTGTGTTACTAGCCTGACATCACATGACGATCAACTATCAAGACGTTGAGCAGATCATTTAATTTGCGCTTCTCGACAGATTGCAAACTACTGTGCAGAGGGAGTACATTTTAAGTTGTCACAAAGCTCTAAAAACTAAGTGACATATTTATGAAAAAGGTACAATTCATTATTTTTGCTGAAATGAAAATATTTTGGAAGGTTATTTAGGTTAGCACCCTTTACCAAGTAGTTACCTTTGAACAATGGCAGGTACCGAATATTAACCATTAACCACTACTGTGTATTCAGCACCTGTAACATGCATAAAGAAACTGTGATGTAAACATATATCATTTCAACCGGTTGAACCAAGCCTTGGTACTGGGACCCCCCCCCCCCAGTCTGGATTACTTGTTTTCCAATTACCTGTCAGCGTCAGTCACCAGCGCGAGGCGTCCGTAGTCCCATGCTACTTTTCTCAAGAAGGAGAACACAACCAGCAGCACCTAGAAGTACACAACAAACAGTGGCTGTCAACCCCTCCAGTCCCTGTATTTATATTACAGAGAATACAAAAGTTAAATAACTTCTTGAAGGTGCTTCTCAGTTAAAAACACATTCCTTGAAGAGTTTTACCTCATTTCTGACAGCTGTGAAGAAACATGACAGAAGGACTCACCAAGAAGCACATGAAGTCGAGGGCGAGGACGGTAGGAACCCCACCAAAAGGCAAGCCCTGGAGCACTGTGCTGCGGATCCGAGCCTTGTAACAGAAGTCCTTGGAGGTGACATTGGTCTGCAGTGGCGGGCAGCTCTCTGAATTGGGGCATCCTTGCGCCCCCCAGAGGGCCATTATTAATATCAGCACTCGGTGCATTACTCACTGCAACATGTTGACAACCTGGAAAGAAGAGAAAAAAGACTTAGAACACCAAGTACGCTCCTTAGTACTACTGCGGTCTAGTATAACTGATTGCACTGTATGTGGCTATCATGGACACACTGTGAGGAGTAACCTCCCCCAGTACTTAGACAGAAATGGATAGAAGAAGAAGAACTTCTGTCTATTAAGGCTCACATTTCTGCCCCGTCACTAGTCACATGCTGTTGCTTTTCACCACATGCATGACAAATGAAACCTGCATGGTTTGAACGATTGTAAACTTTCTGTTCCTCATTCGTGGCCACTCCATGTGCAAATGACACAGTTCAACTTTGTTCTGACTTCAGGGGAAAATATCTGTAGTGAGTAAAAATGTACACTCTGAACACCTTGGTGTTTAGGTACAAAACAGATGTTTAGTGCCTAACAGCAATTTTCCTTCCGGTCTCTGATGAACTTCAGAAAGAAACAAGCAGTGGCCCTAACAAGCAACCTAAAGTATAATGGTGACAAACATTGACAAAGCATGAGTAGTGTATGAGAAGTAAGAATCCCAGTAAATCCTGATCGTCCTCTCTCCTGCTCCAACACAAATGAAGTGTGATACAGGGATGCAAAAATACCATTTTAACTCCCTTGCCAGTATAGAGGGCAGGGATTGCTTTGATTAAACACTAGTCATTCAATCATTACCTGTCACAACATACACTTTGGAAATCCTTAAACTATACAGCGGCCCCTCGAGTTGCAAGACATAAGAAATTGATACAAATAACCTGAACACCAAAGTACCTTCTCAATCCTATAAACACGTACCTATCCTGATCTACAGGCTATCACACTTAAAAAGGATTCAATGGACGAAGGGCTTTGGAGAAGGCGCGTGTAGGTGTCCTGGTGAGTGCTGGCGAGTGGGTTTGCACAGTCGCACTGCTATACTTGTGCCCTTCGACCCACTATTGCCAGCAGCATTCACGATGCTGCTCATCTGCCCTAACACTAACTCATTTATCCGCTCCCTGGAATGCTGTGTGACATCACTGGAGAGGGACGCAGCCAGAGCTGAACAATAAGCCGATAGAGACCGCAGGGTTCAAATGGACCGGTCTCAACCCAAGAAGGACACAACATACCCCCCTGTGCCTTCGACATCACTGCTGCACATCCTGGACCCATTGCCACAGTTCACACTGTTTAACATGCAACACCAACGTCGAGAAAAGCACTTGATCACATTTCAAAAACGAGTTATTATAACACCTATGTTAGAGGTTTTACCGATAGTACAGTAAGCCTACCTCACAGCTGAAATGTCCGCGTCATGGAAAGTATTGTTTCGTTTCTTGAGTGATGAGTAACTCTTTACGGTATCCATCTATAACTGTCAGGATACACGAATCAAGAAATATAATATTCAAGCAAAAACATCTGGTTGGACAAACTGTATTCCACCATGAGGCACATATATTGCAATTGAGCGTAGTGACAATGACTCGTTATATATATTGAGTTAATTTTCTTTGTTGAATATTAACCCAAAATTAAAATAGTCTGTGAGAGCCGCTGGCATCCAAGAGTTGAGGCAGCTTTTCGCACTGCCTTTATGTTGTTGGAAAATTAAACATAAAAGGCAATAGAAAGGACAGACCGTGGCAAAAAATGTAAATATTGAAAGCTTACAGAGGTTATATTTCATCTAATCATTCTCTACGCTTTAATTACATTCCTAGCAGATCCTAGTGTGGGCGCCATTTGTTTTTACAAGTGTTTTAGATTTGACTGTTAAGGTTCCCTTTGACCATTTAGAAGAACACTCATGGTGAACAAGAGCAACCAAAATAGCATTTCTCCTCGTTTTGTCTTAGTATGCCATTAATTATCAGGGATTGGACACTACAGTACAAACACAACAACACAGTGCAATAGCACTACAATAAAAGCCTAACCTTTTTTTAGGCTTAGAATTGTGGCAGAGTAGAGCTGAGTCAACATTACTTTCACTCAAAAGTTGAGCCCTATCAGTTTTTCTTTCATGGGGTTTATTACGAGATTGCATTATTGTCAGCTGGGTCCTGATATTTTGTTCACAACGCGTGTTTTAACCTTTGCCTTTAACTTGTTTTCCTGGCCATTTGTCTCTGCTTAAAGATGCCCTTTAAGGCAAAGGTTATGTGTACATTCAGTGTTTCTCATCGAATGTACACATGGTGTATCATTGAGGTCTGACAACTCTGCTTAGATTTGTAATCTGCTTCTGTTCTGGCTAAAAATGCAATATTACCTTAATTCTGAATGGTAAACCATGTTAAAAGGCTGTAGCTACAACCTAAATATTAAGTTTGGGCAGCATGAAATATTAATCACATATTTGTCAGTGATATGATTAAGCCCCGATAGAAATTGGGATGTGGTTTTTGCAAATCCTATCTGCTATCTATTCTAATGTTGATTAAATAGATTGTTATTCGGCTTAAATGTAACAGCCAATATTGCAAACTATAGTTTTTAGTTTGATTTTATTATAATGTCCATGTCTAGAATCCTTATTAACACACTGTGGGAGCATGACTCAGCAGCAGAAAAACACTGAGACATGTTTCCACCTGATGCTAGTTGCTATGGTACCATCAGTCTGGCACACATTCTCAAAATACACATAAACATAAAAGGGATGAAGGCAGGAGGCTAGAATATCCATTCTGGTCGATTTGAAACTCCATCTAGGAGGGAGTCTGCTGTTTGTTCGACAGCTAAAGCAGGAGAAACAATGAGGTTTGTCTAATTGTCAGGGACAGTGTATGTTTCTTTATCTAGTTGGAAAAACAATATCAGAGCCAAACGTCCAACAAGACAAATGAAAGGAAAATACAACACAATGGCTCATTCAAGTCCATGCAGGCAGCTGCGTGTTCATTATATGCTAATACAGATGCAAACCTTTTAACTGCACAACACTAATGCTTTCCATCTACAATGGACCCTTCGCCAAGTCCCGCCCCTTGAATGCAGACCGGCCAGTCATAGCGTAGCATCGCCCAGCTCCGACCAGTGTCCTGTAACTATCCGGCTCTGCTCACTGCAGTTAGTGACAGTGTGGGCTCCATGGCAGCTCTGACAGCTTGATGGAGAAGCTACAATTCCAAATAATGACCAGAAACCTTCAATGTAGTATGTTATTTATGATTATGTGAAAGGTTAAGTCAAGCCAAACACTCCCTTGAAGCAGAACTGCTTCCCGCAGGAAGTAGATAAAAGACACATTTAAAAGTTACACTTCCAATAACAAGTGTTCAATAGTATGTCTGGCAAAAGCAACTCAAAGAACAGATACAGTGTTTGTTCAATACGATCACCTTGTGAAACCTTTGACAGAGATATCATACATTCTTTTCACAACACAGACTAAATACTTAATCTTCATAACCCCGCACTCCATAAACGTGTCCCGCTCAAGTCGCAATTATCACATTTGCTGATAAACGTATTAGCAAATGTGAAAATTACAAAGAATAGGTGGACACCCTATAAGAAATGTGCCAACGACACATGACCTAGTAATTACATACATTTGTTTAAATGTAATTGGTACTTTCTTGTCAAAATATGAATAAACACTGTTTTAAATCCTGTTCCTCTTGTTAATTCACAAACCTGCTTTATATTACCTGCTTTATAAAATTGCTTCAGGACAATATCATACTTGGCATAAATTCTCCAACAATGCGGATGACTGATAATGCAGATTTGCACACATTAGCCTTGATGGTATTAGCCTGTAAATCATTGACAACTGCTGAGCTTTGATTATCACTGGTCATGACGATATCAGAGTAGTTTCACAATCATGTCACAACATGAATGGAAAGAACACACACAAAAGAAATGAAGAAAAAGGTTGATGTTGGAGTGTCTTTCCCGGCCGATAAAAATGTATGCCTACATAATTAGTATTTGTTTTACAGTATTATCAATTCAACAATAGAGAAAAGATCATACCAATATTAACATTAAATGGACAAAAAAAATCACAGCTGACGCTATATGATACAATACTATTACCATAATATAACACAAGTGCAAGTAGACTCATCTAAAAATCAGCAGCACAACATTCTTCATCACTGCTGTATGAATTACATTACTCTATCTCTGTAAAAGTAATCTTACTACAGAAATTACCATCTTGATTGTAAAGGTAAACCTGAACTGTTTGTTAATCTAAACGATCACAAACCGTTGCAGAGTTGATTTATGAAGCAATAACACGACAAGAGATTGATTGATGCCACTCAAAAAAAAAGTAATCCAACTGAAAATGGTGAATCGTTGCTTCCAGCATGGTAAAATGTAAAAACAGTACTCATTTCAGAAAAGCACAAATACACTCTTTGAAGAGGAGTCAAAGCTACTGAGGCCCAATGTGTTTTATTATATTGTATGAGATATATACACAGGTGCTGGTCATATAATTAGAATATCATCAAAAAGTTGATTTACTTCACTAATTCCATTCAAAAACTGAAACGTGTCTATTATATTCATTCATTACACACAGACTGATATATTTCAAATGTTTATTTCTTTTAATTTTGATGATTATTACTGACAACTAAGGAAAATCCCAAATTCAGTATCTCAGAAAATTTGAATATTACTTAAGACCAATACAAAGAAAGGATTTTTAGAAATCTTGGCCAACTGAAAAGTATGAACATGAAAAGTATGAGCATGTACAGCACTCAATACTTAGTTGGGGCTCTTTTTGCCTGAATTACTGCAGCAATGCGGCGTGGCATGGAGTCGAGCAGTCTGTGGCACTGCTCAGGTGTTATGAGAGCCCAGGTTGCTCTGATAGTGGCCTTCAGCTCTTCTGCATTGTTGGGTCTGGCATTTCGCATTATCCTCTTCACAATACCCCATAGATTTTCTATGGGGTTAAGGTCAGGCGAGTTTGCTGCCCAATTAAGAACAGGGATACCATGGTCCTTAAACCAGGTACTGGTTGCTTTGGCACTGTGTGCAGGTGCCAAGTCCTGTTGGAAAATGAAATCTGCATCTCCATAAAGTTGGCCAGCAGCAGGAAGCATGAAGTGCTCTAAAACTTCCTGGTATATGGCTGCATTGACCTTGGACCTCAGAAAACACAGTGGACCAACACCAGCAGATGACATGGCACCCCAAACCATCACTGACTGTGGAAACTTTACACTGGACCTCAAGCAACGTGGATTGTGTGTCTCTCCTCTCTTCCTCCAGACTCTGGGACCCTGATTTCCAAAGGAAATGCAAAATTTACTTTCATCAGAGAACATAACTTTGGACCACTAAGCAGCAGTCCAGTCCTTTTTGTCTTTAGCCCAGGCGAGACGCTTCTGACGCTGTCTGTTGTTCAAGAGTGGCTTGACACAAGGAATGCGACAGCTGAAACCCATGTCTTGCATACGTCTGTGCGTAGTGGTTCTTGAAGCACTGACTCCAGCTGCAGTCCACTCTTTCTGAATCTCCCCCACATTTTTGAATCGGTTTTGTTTCACAATCCTCTCCAGGGTGCGGTTATCCCTATTGCTTGTACACTTTTTTCTACCACATCTTTTCCTTCCCTTCGCCTCTATTAATGTGCTTGGACACAAAGCTCTGTGAACAGCCAGCCTCTTTTGCAATGACCTTTTGTGTCTTGCCCTCCTTGTGCAAGGTGTCAATGGTCATCTTTTGGACAACTGTCAAGTCAGCAGTCTTCCCCATGATTGTGTAGCCTACAGAACTAGACAGAGACCATTTAAAGGCCTTTGCAGGTGTTTTGAGTTAATTAGCTGATTAGAGTGTGGCACCAGGTCTCTTCAATAGTGAACCTTTTCACAATATTCTAATTTTCTGAGATACTGAATTTGGGATTTTCCTTAGTTGTCAGTTATAATCATCAAAATTAAAAGAAATAAACATTTGAAATATATCAGTCTGTGTGTAATGAATGAATATAATAGACACGTTTCACTTTTTTGAATGGAATTGGTGAAATAAATCAACTTTTTGATGATATTCTAATTATATGACCAGCACCTGTAGATAGATAGATAGATAGATAGATAGATATAAGCAGAAGTGTGTCACACTGATACTTCGTCTTGTGAGGCTTTCCATCAGTAATGTCACTGAACCACAGCACGGCTCATGGACATAATATTAACACTGATTAATATTAATATAATCCCTTTACAGGCTGTGCACAAGGAAACACTCAGAGCATTAACTTTCACAGCTAAGTAGTCTTCAGGCCACGATGAAGCCCATGTCTGTGGAACACCGTTAAACCTGTTACTTCACTTGTACTGGTTATCTATGAAGGTGTGTCGAAAACACTGGCATGACTCCTACGGCTAGATTAAAACCATGGCTGCATTGTCTAACATCTCTTCAAGTTTCTTTACATCAAAACACAATTAGTCTCTCTACAGCAGAGAGTTGTGGAGATCCAAGCAGTTTTCAAGATGATTTGACAAAATATTCTTACATTTCACTAATGATGTACTTAAACATTAATGGTAGAATATGAACAAGACACCAAACATCCAAGCAGGCGAACTTAGTCTAGCGCTTGAGCCTCGAGAGTCGCAACCGATAAAATAATAATGAATGTCACAGTCAGCGTTACCTATTTAAAAACAACTAGAACCCTCACTACTAACCCAATGTTCCTCGTTTAATAACGCTATAACTCACCGTGACTAGAGCTCGTTCACAGCTGACCAGTTAGCCTCATGCTAATGTTAACGTGTTTACTCGTGCATTGTTCTGACAGCAAGTATTAAGTTTGCCAGCGCAGCAGCTAACGGGTTAGCTGCTACAAATGTAGAGGACAACCACACGCATTTGTCTTGAAACCCCAATGAATACAGTTTAACGTTAAATAAGAACATAACTTACCTTGCTATGATACGCAGCAGGGCAGAAAGTAACACAGTTAGCTTCTACGAGCTAACAGTCAGCCGTAACGTTGAGGTTAGCTAACCCCTCGATGTAGCAAATAACAGGTGGAGGCTATCTAACGCATGAATGTATAAAGAACTAACGACCGTCGGCAAATGTCCGCATCAGAGTAGATTTACGTCGACCTTCCGGGCCACAACACTAGAGCTTACCAAGTGTAACTAGTCAATCATACGGTGCAGGTTCTTGGTAATGATAGTCAAGAGCTCAGCTGCTCCGGTTGTGTACACTGTCTGTCAGCCAGTGGAACAACTATCGCTAACCCAACCAGTCCAACGGGAGTCACTCAGGTTTAGAGCGTGACGTACATAGAAGTAGATCACATAGAGAGACGACACATCTTTAGCGTTATACGCCATTACCGTGTCGTCTTCATTGTGTAGCTTCTATACTTGTCCATTTCTAGATTGTCCCCAGCGCGTTTATATGACGTTTGAGAAAGTAACAAACAACAAGCTAACTGGGGGCGGTAGCCGCTTTTTTGCGGTATGTCAGATACTCTTTTACAAATACAAACGGTTGACATTTAACAACATTCATCAAACCAAAGTACAGCTTATCATTTGCAGAGAGAAGTATTTATTTCTCATAAGTGAATGCATGTTGTGTTTATCAGCTAGCTCGGCTAAAGTCGGTTGGTCGCGTATTGCTGACGCGTCGCTTATGACATTGGCATGGAGCGTGAAATAAGGATTTAACAATATAGATATTTCATTCTTAATCCTTGATGCTTTTAACACAATTATTTCGGTATTAGTGTATTCGGGGAAAATACTACAAACAAAATGATTCTGCTTCGTTACTCGACTGATTGATGCCACGTGATTGTTAGCTAATGCTAGCGATATCTTTAGCAAGCCCTGTAGTAGCTTATTAGCTGATAACCATACATAACTTCTCTTTCTAGTTGCCACATCATTCGCTATAATTATGGCTCTCCACCTGCTGTCAAGATCCCTTACCGGGCTCCTTGCAGAGTCATCTTCAATGATTCAGCCAAGGACTTTTAGGTAAGTTATTGTAAATGTTACAGCCCGTTAAGACCTGACAGCTGTGTGGTCTGATTGTTTTTAACACATTTTATTTAAGTTGTTAAACCGACTCAGATCGATGAACAATATAGTGCCGCAGCCATAACTATAGCAGTGACATTCCTCAGCATAATGTTTGTTTATTGTAACTTAAAATGGATGTTTGACCTTCATTCTGCAAAATCATACATGCGCAGAGTTGAACACTAGAAGACTGTTTTTATGTTCACCTGCTGAAGGAGAAACGTTTCTCTGTGGTCACTTGAAATCTAACGTTAGTGTAAGACGTGGTTCTTCGCTTTAATACAGCCATGTCCTGCATCAGCCTTATAACTGCATCTATTAGTCTGAGGAAACCTGAAGCCTCTAATACACATTGCATACACACAAACACACACTGAGAATTAACTTTTTCAGTGTAGTAGGAGACATCTTGCGCCCAATATATAAACATTTTTGATAAAACGTAGAGTCTGGTTTATTCCATGGAGTTGTGCTTATAATAGTTGATACCAAGTTGATTTATTATTATCATTGTGTTTGAGCCCTATCGCACACAAATATTAAATATCTAAGCATTTCTTCTGGTTAGATATTACAGCTGTGGGCCGGAGCCAAATAATTTACAGTAGTGGGTGACCATAATACATCATTTTGATTAATTGATTAAACTTTATAACACACTTTATTCACTGTTTATGGAGCAGTCTCCAATGTTCATCCTAAGAAGCAACTTATTCTATCAAAGGGTGAAGTTTTGCTTTACCTCATAGAAAAGTAAGTTTCTTGCATGACTGCTGGGTCTCTGGAGGAGAGTTGTAGTCATCAAGCAATTCACTTCTTTTTTTTTTTGTCTATTCAGTGTGTCTGCTGTTGCAGCAGCCATTCAGAAAATGACAAGAGTGCGCGTTGTGGACAACAGCTCCCTTGGAAATACACCATGGCACCGCCCCCCGAGAGTTATCCATGTCTACACCAAGAACGGCGTAGGGAAAGTTGGTGACAGAGTGTTGCTTGCCATCAAAGGACAGAAGAAGAAAGCACTAATCGTTGGACACAAAATGCCTGGAGAACGCATGAGTCCACGCTTTGATTCAAACAATGTTGTTCTGATTGAGGACAATGGAAATCCTACAGGAACAAGGATTAAGGTCCCTTTACCCACACATCTACGTAAAGTGGACGGAGATTACTCGAAAGTCCTGGCAATTGCTAATTCATTTGTGTAATAACACAATTCTGTGCTGTGATTTGATATATACTGTATATTTCACATCTGCTTGGGGTTTATGAACATTTTACGATTGTATGTTTTCAATAAAGGGAGCATACACCCAGCCACAATTGTCTCTACAGTATTCTGTTGTCAATGTATGTAACGAGCTCGAGCCTTTGTCGACATGCTTGGCATTTCACGGAGGCCTCTCTGTGCTTACAATAAATATAACCTTTAGCTTAAAAGGCATAGCATATCAGCTTCTGGGGAAGTTTGAGCAGCCAAATGTGGGTCAAACTCATGTTATGAATACAATGAACAAACTGGGAAAGTATGAACCGTCAGGGTAATATTTTATTGAAGGCACAACATACATTTACGACACAAAACGCATAACGAGCATACTTTTAATCGCTGTTTATAAAATCATAGTGTGATTTATAAGGCATTAAGTATCATGTGATCCCTGTAAATGTTACTTGAGTGGACTGAAATATAGTACTTCTCACAAATGTGAGGCAACTTCAGTAGCATCTTCCTAAAACTAAATCCTCAGTGCAAAATAAAAACAAGTAAAGCTAAACAAAGTTCAGATGCTAAATTTCAACTTCAACTAAAGAAAAATAGTTGTGTAATATATTAACAGGCTAAACTTTACATTAGATCTGTACTGCCATCTACAGGTAAAATCATGGAACTACCAACTCAACACTGAGGTGTTCAATCTTATTAATCGTTCTGCTCTAAAATTAGGACAAAGTGGAAACATGAGTGCAGAGAAACTATAAAACATCACATTGTAAAGCATCATTACAGTAACAGGCTTCTTCAGATTTCTTCTATGTGTTCCTTGGCAGAACAGCTTTTAGTGAGTTTGAAATAATGAGAACAGTGAAATTGTTAGTGAATCAAATTGCAACAAGGCACATTATAGCTAGTGATTTTTGTCATGCACAGAGTCAGAGACATGCTGTTTTTACAGAGATGACAGATCAATGTGGCACACTGACTATTTCCTACTGCAGGTTTGCATAGTTTTCTAAAATTTGTCCGGGAGACACTTGGCTTGATTGGACTTTGCTTAATATTATACAGCTATATTTGTATTTTACGTACGCTGAGGTGTGATGTGTTAAAGGTCGCTAAGGTTGATGGATCATCAGTTCCCCGGGTTCGCAATTTGCAGGCACTGTGCCTTTACTCTATATCTCCCTCCAGCGAAGAAGGCCCTCTTCAACCACACATTGTCAGGTAAAGCCACTGGCAATACAAGAAATACAATTAGATAGACAGAACAGAAAGACTGACAGAATGTATTGAGATTTAGTTTTTAAACAGAACTCACCTCTGTGACATTCATTTCAGCCTCTCCTGATCCCTCCTTGTCAAACTGCTGGAAAGACCCTGTTAAAGTGTCACAATTAATACTTTTACGAGTATTCTTGTCTGCAAACCCACAGTATACATTTAGAATAGCATGTATTACATTAATACTCACTAAACATGGCTTCAAGCTTGACCAAGCAGCAGATGAAGTTGTCAAAGTCAACCATCTCGTTCTCTGCATACCGGGCTACCAGAATCTGGTTCAGTCTGTTATTCAGTTTAAAACCTACACAGGATGACAATGAAAATGAAAGGAAATGTTACACTTTATCATCTCTGAGTGCGTTTACAGCAAATCATTGTGGAAATTATGCTTAAGAGCATTATACCTGCTGCCTCCACAGCAAGACGCATCTCATATGAGCTCATGGCACCCGACTTGTCGAGGTCAAAATCTCTAAAAATGACCTGGAAGACAGAGAATAAAATGTTAATCGAAATTTAGAGAATCTAAGTGTGAATACTGTTCCTTTGACTTTGTTATTTATTTACCAGCCACTTTCGGATTTTGTTCCAGAGGATCTGGAACTCCACCAGCCCTAAACGAGCACTACCATCTTTCTGGTAAACGCGATGTCAAGGGGTGAAACCACATACAAACAATCACAAGCATGCTAAATGCATGTTTTATTTGTTTCTGATCAAATCAATGTAACAACATTTTTGATCCATTCCTGCCTGTTAACTCAAGAGGATACGTCCATCAGGTTGACCATGGTCCTGCATGACTCCATACTGAAGCCATCAGTCTTCAGATCTTTGTCTGAAACAGCAGAAACACTCGTCTGAAACAGTCTGGTCTACAAAGACACAGTGGCACAGAGGCCTTGTAATAGAGGCAGTCCAGGAAATAAATGGTCAACACCAGGGGTGTCAAACATACAGCCGAGGGCCAGAATCGGCCCGCCAAAGGGTAAATCCTGCCCACTGGATGACATTGTAAAGTGTAAAATTAGCTGAAAAGTCATTGATTCAAATTTTCAACGGAAATCTCAGGCTGTTCATGATCTGTTTTCTAAATGGATTGTTCATTAATTGTGAACGTTGTCAGAATGTACTTGTAATGTTTTACACTAAAAGAAAGAGAAAGATGTGCCCGTGACCTAAAATGAGTTTAACATCATGGTGAACACTCCACAGCAGAATGTAATACCGTAGTGGAAGATCTATTACTAGTATGTACATTTTCCAGTAGCTATGAATTGTAAACTGAAAATAAACAGAAAACTCACGCCTGGTGATGACTCTGTTCAGAATGGTCCGAAGCTCGTGAATAGAAATCTCCATGTCCTGAAAAAGCACAGAGGACAAGAAAAGAGAAAGAATGACTTGATTTACTTTATTTCCCCACCATAAACAAGGCGGATGCCATTTTGGATCTTTAGATGTTATCTAAAATACCACAATAATACTACTATTGCCATTAACAACATTATAATACATAAATCATTTGAGCAGTCTTAGCAAGTACAAATGCAAATAGAGATGCAAAACAAGACTGATCTGTTTTTCAGACTTACCTCTCCTGCTAGCTGGGCGAACATGGACTTAAAAGAGTCATCGATGTCGTCTTCAGTTATTTCATCCTATAGGAAACCACAAATACAAAAGGCTTTGGTTTACGATCAGGGTTCTAGTTATTTTCTAATATTCATAGAGAATAGTATGTAACATATTAGTTTTAGTGTCTTACTGATACGTACATCATCTCCTAAATCGGCAGAGATTTCATCATCCAGTTCTCTGCAATGGACAAAAACAAACATGAGATTACGTTATAAATACTTAAATCAACATTAAAATCACATGCAAAAAAAACCCACATACTCTGTTTCTGATTGCTTCTCAGTGAAGACTCTGAGGACGAAGTCAGCCTCCTTACTGGCCTCATAGGTGGAGGGGACGATGAGGTACTCTCCAGGGGGCAGACGGAGCCGCGTGCTCACCTCCCGCAGGTTGATGAAGGTCTCAGAGCGAGCGCACGATGAATGTTTCAAAAAGAAATCTTTCTTCAAATGGACATTCTGGCAGCCTCTGTACTATCGGCAGTAGGAAACAATACATAAGAGATGCAGGTGCATGATTTTATGTCAATTTAATTGAAATCATATATACTTTACACCATTTCACAAAGCATAACACAGTGTTTATTTTTAATTTCTAACTAATTTAAAACATGTTGAAATAGAATGAATATCTCAATCACGATGCAAGTGTGTGATTTTAATAAAAAGAATGTATGTGATGAACACAATGTTTTAGTAATCGATGCTCTGCCTACCTCTTCTGGAATCTGCACAAAAGAAGGGAAAAACAACATTAATGAGCTGAGGAAAAACTTAAAGTAATAATGTAATGTACTGTAACTATGAGAAGGGCAAAGGGACAGTACTGATTTTCTCTATTCTCACCTCATAAAGAGCAAAGCCAATCGTGTGCATGTCCTGACCATGGCGCCGATATCTGCGGCGGTCCTTCTGCATGAGAGCTACTAGAAAACTGCACGCCGCCTCACCATCCTCTGGGTCGTCATCATCCTCCTCCAGCAACGTGATCTTGTACTGAGGGTTGATCCAAAACGTGTCTGCACAGATGGTGCACTTGTGTTAGCCTGTTTCATAGTCTATGTCAGCATGTATACTTGAAAGGCTTTTTTTTTGTCTGTGACGTACGGTCGGGACTCACTGGGATTGTTCCTGCAGCCTCCGGCGGTGCTGCCTTTCCGCCACGCGCCGTAGAACTTGATGTTGTTCCAGTAGCCGAGACCTTCCTCACTCAAGGCATCAGGAGTCAAGTTACAGATCTCTAGCCGAGAAAACTGCGTCTTGAATTCACTGAAGGACATCCTGGAAGATCAAAATATGAGTTTAGGGTCAGAAAGCTGAATGCAACCTTTTTAGAAGAATAGTTTGACATTTTGGGATATATACGTATATACGCTCATTCCCTTTCTTGGCGAGAGTCAGGTGATTGAGTGGTATCAATCTTCTCATGTCACTCTCTGCAAGGAAGTGAATGGGTGTTTTTCCCAAAATGTCAAACTAGTCCTTTAAAATACCAACAGTACATAATATTGCTCTACGGTACAACAGCACCTGGGACATCTTACCAAAACTCCCCGTCTTCCATCTTCAGGTGCAGGTCCTCTTGTTCAGACGGGTCAATCTCATCCCATTCAGGAGAACTACACACAACAAGACAAATAGACCGGAATAAACGTTTAGAAAGAGATTTAACAGTCACAAAAGAAGACATTAACCAAACAAAAACAGGGATGGAAAAATACTCAGTACACAAAGACATTTATTAACTCACTTGTCACTCCAGGCACCAGTCCACTCCACCTGACCCCAAGGGTTACGTATTCGGATTAGGCGTTCCATGTTGCCGCGGAAATCAACCTACATAACGCACGGAGTTTATGGCCAACTTAAGACCATTAGTATTATTCATTAGGGTAACCGATTAAAGACAACAGAGTCATACACAGACAGACCTCCTTCAGTCCAGTGACAGAGTAGGCGTGGCCCTTCACAAGCTTCTTGAATGTAACAGCCTCCATGTCGAAGGCACTGGTGATCTGCAATAATATGAAAACATGATTACCGCATTGACTGGCACAGAATTAAATAGAAATGCTTTTGATGTTATTGGCTTTCTCAGGATGGCACAACATTGATCTGCCTGCCTTGGTGGCGTGCCAGCGTGCTCAGCACTCACATCGATGGAGCAGCCCAGCAGAGAGCCTCTCTCCAGGGCTTTGCCAATTATCCTGTGCAGATCTCTAGGAGCACTGCGGAGCTCGTACATCTCAGACACACCACCTGTGAAGTCCTCGAACCCTTCAGTGGTGCTTCCTCCGGACAGAGCCTCATAGGAGCCATTTAGCCTGAAGCCACAGTGAAAACACGCTTGTAACTTACAACTTCCTACTGCATACACTCACGCTGAATAATTTAATATCTGGGTAGGCTCTTTTAATACCTACTTAGCGTAAGCCTTCTCCAGGAGTGCACTCCAGAATTCATTGCCCTCAGCGGAATGGACAAACATGAGCTCGCCGTCTTTGACAGGCAGTCTGTCATCTATCACAACATCCACCCACTCGCCGAACTGCCAGAACTGCAACACAGAGCAATAATCAACAACTCCATCAACCTAAACTGCTTGCCTTACACTTGCTGTGCAGTGCATGGAAGATCTTGAAGTACCTGAAAGTGGAAGATTCCGGCATAATCATCTTGGAAGGACTGGCCATGAGGGACAACCCGATGAAGAAGCTTCTCATTCAGGGTGAGAGAGCCGATGGCTGCTAAGAGCCAGCAGTCGCCTGCAAGTGAGAAGAATCTAATTATCCAATTCTGTCTCGTTTTTTTTTTTTTTTTCAGGGCAGATTCAACATTAACAACAAGGGCTCACCCAGCGCTCCCTGACAGATGTCAGTTCTGGTAGCACCACCCACGATGAACTGAGGATCGTCGGTCAGTTCCTATGGAGAAATGAAATGTCTGGGTGACAATCAAATACGTCAAAGTCTCAGAATTCAGACTAGTCAACCGTTTCACGATCTGCTTTAAAAGGCAACCATCGCTATTCTTGCATCTACACGTCAACTTTCCTGTGTCTTAATGAAGCACTGTAAACAAATGTCGGGAGCGAGGGAGTGGTCAGGGAATGCCATGCGATGCCAACAGCTGCAGCGGCCCGAGAGGTTACTGTCCCTACTTGTCCTGTTCTGTCCGAGTTTGCAGACATGAACAAACACAATGTCATAGGATACGTCTGTTTATATGATATGTTTATCTGAGAGTCAGAACCACATGCTTGCTGTGGAGAACTGTTACATGAGCAGCTATCCAAAGAATGATGAGTGAGCTATTTCCACTTTATATCCAGCTTTAGGTCTGGAATCTGTGTCTTAAAAACATACTTTCATCTGTATGTGGGTGTAGAAAAAGTACATATGTTATCTTGTGTCCTACTATCAATATCGTTTCATGCATTAGTAGTCACCACTCACCGGGGGCCTCATCCACTCCACATCCTTAGTTTTGGAGGAATAGGGGGCGAGCTCCTTGAAACCTAAGGATGGAGGCTCAGCGGGGAAATAGGAGTCTTCAAACAAGCAGCCGGACTCCAAACATTCCTGCTTCAGTGCCTCGTAGTCCTGGTTGGAGAAGTGTACAGCCTGCTCCTTGGAGCCCATGCCTTCAGCTCGTAGCCTGTTGGCCTGTATGGTTGCAGATATCCCTCCGGTTGGATACATACTAGTGTGAGATAAAAATATGGGGCTGTGTGAGTATGCACAGTGCCGTCTATAAATAGCAGAGAGCTAATCGGCGACACACTCTTGTCTAAGGGTTACAACACAGCAATCAAGTGTGGGAGCGTGTGTGAAAAAAATGAATGTTCATACTGGTGATAAAGATTCTTTTATGCATTTCAGGTCCCTGGTACTCCATTTGTTCATTTATTGAATGTGTAGGTTTAGCAACCTGAGGGGATTTTACAGTCTACAATTAAAAACAACATGATGGGTATTTTAGCTGCCCTGAGAGTGGTGGGCCTGCATTGGTGGGACTTGTGACCTCAGTATTTCTAGTGTCCTGGCTACCGCCCTGCAACAGGCAAATCCTGCAACTAATAATTGTCATGTATAATAAAAGTAAATGCTCTGCAATGTAAATTTCAGTTAGAAGCCCAGCTGAGAAATAATAGACGTACAGAAAATATGAACAGACGAAAAGCTATTTCTGAGGGACGTGAGACAAGATAACACCTTAAACACAGCAAGCCCAGGAATAACAAAAGCACTTTGAAACATGATACCTTGTCTGTATGGGCAGGCTGAGAGGGAGAATGAGACAAAAAAAAAAAAAGAGGGAGAGTGTGAGAGAAGGGTCATTCACCAAAGCTTTGGCTCAGATAAATATAAAGTGCTTTCTTCTTCAAATAATTTGGATCTGCACTGCAGAAGCTTGTGCAGCCCTAATGGACGTTAGTGTTCACCACTCAGCGGGGGTATCCTTCTCCTCCCTGAATGCACTTGCTTTTCTATGTCGGACAGTTTCACAACTTCCAGTCACGTCTCAAGTGAGGACATAATAGCTTTGTGGGGAAACCAGGGGATAAAAAGAACCAAATATGCTGGCTGTTTGTTAGATTAAACGTTTTTACTTGGCTATCCCCATCTGAATCTGTGAAGAAGTAAAAACGGGGACATTGGATGATCTTTTATATTACACTGCTCAACTGGACAAGAATCCTAATGAGCTCAGTTCAGTTAACAGTCAAGTAAGAGGGTAAAACTTGGATGAGTGGTGAGAGACCGGGAGAATCCATGAGCAAAAAAATGACTGAGTTTAGTTTAAATAAATAAAAGAAGGATGTGTTGCTGTGCAAAACTGGCTATGCATTTGATAGGAACAATTCTGCAGGCAAGGACATTGTTTATAGAACTACCCCCCTTGCACCCTGAGGCCTCTCATGGGTTTAGAGACTGCAGGAATGTCCCTCTGCTCTGTCTAACAGCGAGACAGAGACTACTGCTGGCCAATGACCAAAAGGATACATCTATTCTTCACGTTAGGGAAAAGCTGAGCCATGCATTCCTGTGTTGATGATGTCATCTAAAGGACTTCAACCTCAACAAAGCCCTAAAACAACCATGTCTGTCTGTCAAACACTGGCGTCCCCACCACCCTCAAACAGACAGAAGCATGCTGCACATATGTTGGCTGCTTTGTGAATTCATAGGCCTGTTACTTGCAAAAGTCACAGCATGTCACGCAGGCTTAGATTGTTTACAGCACCTGTTCAGCAGTACAAGCAGGCCTGTCTTTTTATGCGATCATGCCCGCAGCCTGCCACAATACATATGTTTACAACACAATCACACTCATTTTACACTGGATGTCAGAGCTGAATTAAATCTGTGTGCCTGAATATGACAGCTGTCACTGTGTCGACTCTTATTAGTGCTACACTAGTTTACTAAATCACACAAACCGCACGGTGGCCTACACTACAATAAAACCATGAGACACCGTTAATCTCAATATGGCTAAATTAACACGTTCAGCGAAAGAAAGAAAAAACTCACCGCCGATTTCAAGGCAATTTACGGCTCCTTCAAATCAGGTCCGATAGTGATAATTGTATAAATCTGTGAAAGGGGGCAGTGGTTTAGTAGCCAGGAGCGCAGGTCCAGGTCCAGGTCCAGCCCTCTCCGCTGCACACAGTACAGGATAGACCAGCCCCTACAGGAGGAGGGGCCACCGCTCTCACCCAGCCAGCACCCCCACACTCTGCGGCTAGAGGCGCTGAAGACAGCGGGGATCAAATCAAATACATGCTGTTCAGAGGTAGATAGTGTTAGGAGGTAGATAAAGATTAAAGTAAGACTGAAATTACAAACATCCTTTTAGAATATTGTAGCGTATAGCTTTCAATTCAGTTAAAAAAAAAGAATACATGCACAGTAATACAATAATAAACACTGTTATTCACACAGCTCAAACAATCAGAAGGCTATATGCCTGACAGCTATATTGTTCCGTTGGCAATAAATATATTAATGAATATTATATAAAATGACTAATATCGTATGCAAGATGTTATTATAGCTCTATGTGTTATGTTATGTCATGGCTTGTTGGTCATGGCACCATGTATACGATATACATGGAGCTATACTGTATGTATAAATGCATATGGGACACCAAATATATTTTGGTGGAAGGAATACATTTTCAATCAGAAAAAGTCCACTTCAATCCAAAGAAGTGACAGAATGTTAATATGTTATAAGAATACATATTTTCAAGATAATACACAGAGAAATTTACTTATAATGCCCATAAAAGTAGAGGTCATTATTTCAGGTTAAGTAAAGGTCAAAATGAATTTAACAAACAGAAACAAACTTCCTTTCCTACACAAATGTTACTTGGGTGAAATTAGTTTTTTATGTCAATCCTCTTGCAACCTGAAACAATTGGGTGTCACATAATGTGGAGTAACAATAAGGTCAAAGGTCACCCGAGGAGAGACAAATATTGCTACGGATGACAGTATCCTTTGTTTGGTTATATTGCAGCCAGGAGTTTGTGTTGTTCCATATAAACTATATTCAGAAAATGAAAGCGAATTTGAAATGTGATTGTAACGACGCACCGCCGTTACTTAGACCACGGATAGTGTGCGAGATAGGGTGTGATGGAGTCAAGGAACACACATGTTTATTGTATGTATTTATTGTGGGACTGTGGATGCTGGGAGCCATGTGCACAGCTAGGACACAAAGCTGGTCCTGTTGTTCTCCCTGCCAACAAACGGACAACTGCAGTCAGTGACAAAGTGATTAGACTTGACTGTAGTAAATGTCTATGTGGCAGAACATTATCGTGTATATATTGCAACAACTTACCTCTGCCTGTTTCCTCTTCCCAGGGTGTTCAGGCAAAATACTTCCCCGGGGGCTCGAGCACCCATTTATAGTTCTGGGAAATACTCACTTCAGGAAGCAGGTAGGGGGAAGTGAAAATAGGTGTTGCTGTGTTTAGTTAGATAAATGATGGTGTTTATTATTTACTTTATTTATAGGAATTCTAATTAGTTGTTCATTATTATAGATACTTGTGGTGTGGGTAAAATCTGGTAAATATTTATTCGACATATATGTATGCATATACTTACCCGTAGATGTCAGGGCTGGTCCAATTAGCTGGACCAGGTGTGTATATAAGGGCCTCATTTTTGTTTGTGTGGGGAGTAGTGAAGGCAACTAGATACTGGTGTCAATGTTGGTGCGATGGTCGACCTTTTAAAAATAAAAGAAGCATCTTCTGAAACTACTCTGGACTTCTGAACTCTTCATTTGCCTCCATGGCCACTCGGGCATGTTTACAGTGATATTTGTTGAAAGGTTAAGTAGAACATGACTGGTACTCCTAAATGTTGCTTGAAAGTCAGTGTATAAGTTTATAGAATCAAAATGAAAGTGACAATCTTACTGTCAGTCGTTCCCTCAACAAAAAGCCAGTGGGATTCTTCCGTTTGATTTAGGATTATTGCAGAAAATAAGCTCTGTGGCAAACAAATGTTTATGCTACTTACACGTTCAGCAAAATACTCTTCACAAATGAACACCACTTTTAGGATTTTTGAAGCGTGAATGCAATCGACAAAAGTAAAAAGCAACAGTAAATGCATAATTAATCATTTGTAATGCCACATAAGACCTGTAACCATGCACTCTATCAATACTGGCATTACAGTATAGCAATAGTGAAGCAGACAGATATAAATCATGATAGAAGGCTGTTTGTAATGGCTTTTACGACATTACAACTCATCATAAGCTTTCATTACAGTGTTACTGATGTTCTCAATGCTGATCCGTCACTGACTACCAGCAGTTGTTGTTCAGTATGTCAGCAAACTGCCTCAAAACATCAATAAACAAGAACGTCAAGAAGAATTGTTTTATTTTTATTTTTTTGTGCTTGGCCTACATTTTCAATTAAATGTGTACTTGTATGAATGAAACAACTAATGTCCCTTTTGTGTGTCTCGTGAAAAGAGGAGGGGTTATAATTGGCACTCATTTGTCATGTCAATGTTTACAAACAAGGTTGTGTGCACACAGCATTCATTGGTTTACGACCTACCCTCGCTCCAGCTTCCCACAATAGGCAGTGTGGATAACCTCAGAATTGTTATCCAGGAGGGTACTCCATTATGTCCATTGGGTGTGGAAGGTTGGCTCTTGGAAATATGGCTCATGTCTGGTACAGAAGCATCAATATCAGCTTGGAAATCGAGAAAAGTCCAGTTAGTCTGCAGAAAGTATTCTGTTTTTGTGTCTATATAAGATTGTGTAAGTCAGAGACAATTTTATTTCTGCTGTTGATCTGTCTTCTTTGCTTGAGCAGTAACACACACTGCTTGTGCAGCTCATCGCGTTTACCTCCGCGCTGGATCAGAAGCAGCCACTCTGCACCTCCAGCACTGCTGATGGTCTTTTCTGTTTTCCATTCTGAGGTAATCTAAACAAGGGTGGATTCACTACCGTTAACTACCTTGTGTTCATATCCTTGATATGTGGTGCTTCTGAGGCTTACAGAACAAACAGTGTTGATTTCAGCAGCTGAAACAGCAGTGTAGCTCCGAATAAACCAGTTGATCAGCCACCGATAAACTGTTTGACTGAGGATCAGCTTTGTCTGTACTCAGCATAGAGGATGTAAGTACAGAATAAGGATATGAGGATGATATGAGAGCACAGTGCATGTGTTTCAAAGCAGACTGGACCTGGCAGAAGCCCCCCAGGCTCAGTGTTGCAATGTCATTTACATCCCATTCTTATTCTTGCTCAACATGACACTTGCTTGATTCCATGTGTTTAAGCTTCCCTTTCACAACTCTCAGCGGTAAGCACTACCTTTAATCCCTTCCAATAACACCTGAACCTTTTTCTTTTATTTTTTTGATCACTTCGATGCTATAAATCAAGCTATGTGTTTATGTCCTCTACTTTTGGTATGTACCCATCAGTAAGTCAGAGACAATAAATACATTGCCCACCTCACACACACACACACACACACACACACACACACATTCAAAATGAGGCAATGACAGTGGAGCTTCAATTTGCCTTTAGGCGTGTCCTTGTTTGTATTTCTTCTGTGGCCACAGCAGATTTGCTTAGGGTTGCTGCTGTCTGTTTGTGATCCCAGCCAAACCTCCCCTCACCTGTGGGAGCTATAAAGGAGGATGGGACAAAGGCCCGTCTGGATTGTCCTCAGCTGGGGGAAGGTCAGCTCACAAGACAACACAACTCACAAAGAGGGAAATCATCATCCAGGGAGTCTACATACACTTGAGAGGCGAGGATGACATCCACGGCAGATCGACTGGCCCATCAGAAGAAGAGAGAAGAAGGCATTGGCACGAACCAGAAAGCGGTGAAGTACTCCAAGCAGGATTATGACACTCTGCGCCAGCAGTGTCTGGAGAGTGGACGCCTGTTTGAGGACAACTGCTTTCCAGCTGAGCACAAATCGCTGGGCTACAATGAGCTGGGACCATACTCATCCAAAACCAGGGGTGTTGTTTGGAAAAGGCCAATGGTAAGAATCCACTGAGAAGAAGCAGACAGCAATGAAATACTACTACTATTTACACTAAAATATTTGTCAGTGATGTGTCAGAGACTATTGTAACTATTTCTTTTACTGAATTGCATAAATTTCTTCTTTTTAAATCAAGGATTGCGGAAGGAATAGTAGAAAACACTATATTAAAAAAAGGAGCCGTAACTTGTTGGATCAGAGCAAGACTCACTAAATGTTTTTTTCTTCTACCATCTCAGCAGTGTGATACAGGACAATCCAAGGTTCATGTTTAACTTTTTGTGATTGTCTGGTGCTCTTTATAGGAGCTGTGCTCAAAGCCAAAGTTCATTGATGGTGGGGCAACGAGGACAGACATTTGCCAAGGAGCTCTAGGTAAGTGAGGGGAAAGAGGATGGATGAATGACTTTTAATGAACAGATGGACAGATGGATGAATGATGGGGTGCTTTGGTTTTAGAAGGGAACTACAAACATCCCTGGACCGAACCCTCCACCCATTCTGCCCACTAAGCCTGTAAGAGGGAATTATGACAGACGTGGTTTGATGGCACATGCTGTTTACATCACTGTTGCTGTAAGCAACATGAATGCCACATATTGCTCAATCTAAGACCATGTCTCTGTTCTTAATGTACAGGTGACTGCTGGCTTCTGGCTGCTATAGCCTCTCTGACTCTTGACCAGCGGATCCTGGCTCGCGTGGTGCCCCATGGACAGAGTTTCACCGACGGTTATGCAGGGATATTTCGCTTCCAGGTCAGACCAAGGCCTTTCTCATATGACCAATAACTCTGACCTTCCAGGTTTTTTGCTTTCTTTTCCTTTTTCTTCTTTCTTTCATTGTTTTTTTTCTTGCCATGTCCGACCATAGAACGATGACTTTCTCTAATGGAAACTTGTACACTGGTGTAGGGCAATCCAAAATACTAAAGTACAGCAAAATACAAAGATCCATCTGATCCATCGAATCTCAATCGCAATAAATGAGTCAATGCTACAAACATGTTCTACTTGTTCACCTGCAAAGCTGATCAACACTTCACCATATGTAAAAGACTGTATCTTGTAACAGTCCTTCCAGCACCACCAACAGTTAAAAGTTG